CGCCCTGGGGCAGCCGTATAACCTTTTTTCCCACTTGGAAAGATGGACCTTTCCCACTTGGAAAGAGTCCTTTCCTAAGCAGGATTAGCAATTGCAAAGTAAAGATTACACAGTGATTTATCACCTTTTAATGCATTCTGACAGAAATGCAGTCTCTGTCACAGGCCATCAATGTAAAATACATGTAAGACACCATTACTCAGAAGCAAGGGCTCCATTTCATGTGTAAGCAGTTTCCAGTAGACAAGGGACAAATACTCGTTTTCTAGATCTGGCATCTGCAAAGGCAGAACTACAGCAATAATAACACGAATCTCTCAAGTGCTTCTCCTCTGTTAGTAGAAAGCAGTCATGCAGCAATTCCCCCAGCCCAAAGTCTGTTCCTGTGTGCTCTTCAGGCTGTTTACAAACAGCTGCTTTAAGATGTACATTGTAAGTTTTGTCCATTTTTGTCACCTAAGAGAGTCTGATTCCACCTGGGTCAGAGGAGCTAGAGGAGCTGCTGATCCCAAAAGAGAGGGGCTTGCAGACTTTTCCACAGCATTCTGTATGCATGCCTAGACCTCATTCTCTCCTGAGACATAAACACATACCCAAGCAACCGTGACAACAGATACAGTTGACTTCCAAGGGCTAGTTGTACACAAAGAAGCTAACAGAGCTCCCAAAAGGTAGGAAGTGACTGTATTCTGAAGACAGTGGACAACATTGGAGACAATTTTTCATTTTTGCATTTACTTACTTCATGTTACACCCTTTGAAAGGTGATTTCAGTGAGATGTTCTTGGTTTTAATAGTGACAGGAATTTAATCAGAACAACAAACTCCTGGGCAGCATCATACTTTATTGCCAGAGTATGTTAATGACATGAGAATCTTAATTGCCTTTCCTTATCAAATAGAAGTGGCATTTCATAAAGGAGAGGTACTGATTGGGCTGTACCCTGTGGAGACTGATACAGCTAGAGGAGGTGATCAATTTTAGAAGGTTTCCCAGCTAATGAGACTGCTGGTAGGCATTGATCTCCTCAGGAAAATTGTGATATTGCAGCTGCAGAGCCTTACTGAGGACAAGCTAACAAGGCAGCTTATCTTTTGAAAGGGCTCCACAGGATATGACTTTGCAGAGGTCACTGATTTATATGCAGTGCCTGAACTTCCTTTACCTATCTCCCAGCAAGCATGGGAGGAGATCAAAATACTCTAGCAGAGACAGCAAGGAAAGGGGCATAATCTCATATTTGTTCTCTTTGCCTCTAGACATAGGCTTCTAAATGATGGAAGTAATGAGTTACTCATTTTTGCATAGTAGGCAAAATCACATCTTTAAATAGAATCATAGAATAGTTAGGGTCGGAAAGTACCTTAGGATCATCTAGTTCCAGCGCCCCTGCCATGGGCAAGGACACCTCACACTAAACCATATCACCCAAGGCTTCATCCAACCTGGCCTTGAACACTGCCAGGGATGGAGCATTCACAACCTTCCTGGGCAGCCCATTCCAGTGCCTCACCACCCTCACAAGAAAGAATTTCCTCCTTATATCCAATCTAAACTTCCCCTGTTTAAGTTTGAACCCATTACCCCTTCTCCTATCACTACAGTCCCTAATGAAGAGTCCCTCCCCAGGATCCTCATAGGCCCCCTTCAGATACTGGAAGGCTGCTATGAGGTCTCCACACAGCCTTCTCTTCTCCAGGCTGAACAGCCCCAACTTTCTCAGCCTGTCTTCATACGGGAGGTGCTCCAGTCCCCTGATCATCCTCGTGGCCCTCCTCTGGACTTGTTCCAACAGTTCCATGGCCTTTTTATTTTGAGGACACCAGAACTGCACACAATACTCCAGGTGAGGTCCCACAAGAGCAGAGCAGAGGGGCAGGATCACCTCCTTCAACCTGCTGGTCGCGCTCCTTTTGATGCAGCCCAGGATACTGTTGGCTTTCTGGGCTGCAAGAGCACACTGTGGCCGGCTCTTGTTTATTTTCTCATTGACCAGCACCTCTAAGTCCTTCTCTGCAGGTCTGCCCAACCTGTAGCTGTGCCTGGGATTGCTCCAACCCAGATGTAGGACCTTGTACTTGGCATGGTTAAACTTCATGAGGTTGGCGTCAGCCCACCTCACAAGCGTGTCAAGGTCCCCCTTGATGGCATTCCTTCCCTCCAGTGTATCAACTGAACCACACAGCTTGGTGTCATCGGCAAACTTGCTGAGGGCGCACTCAATCCCACTGTCCATGTCAGCGAAAAAAGGTGTTAAACAAGACCAATCTCAACACAGATCCCTGAGGGACACCACTCCTTACTGGTCTCCAGCTGGATATTGAGCCATTGACCACAAGTCTTTGCGTGCAGCCACTCAGCCAATTCTTTATCCACCAAGTAGTCCACCTGTCAAATTGATGTCTCTCCAATTTAGAGACAAGGATGTTGTGTGGGACAGTGTCAAATGCTTTGAACAAGTCCAGGTAGATGACATAATTGCTCTGCCTCTGTCCATCAGTTCTGTAGCCCCATTATAGAAGGCCACCAAATAAGTCAGGCAGGATTTCCCCTTAGTGAAGCCATGCTGGCTGTCACCAAGCACCTTGTTGTTTTTCATGTGCCTTAGCATGCCTTCCAGGAGAACCTGCTCCAAGATTTGTCCAGGCACAGAGGCGAGACTGACTGGTCTGTAATTCCCTGGGTCATCCATTTTCCCCTTCTTGAAAATGGGGGTTATATTTCCCTTTTCCCAGTCATTGGGAACTTCACCTGACTGCCATGATTTTTCAAGTATGATAGACAGTGGCTTAGCAACTTCATTTGCCAGCTCCTTCAGGACCCGCACATGGATTTCATCAGGTCCCATGGACTTGTGCACGTTCAGGTTTTTAAGATGGTCTCTAACAAGTTCCTCTCCTACAGTGGGCCCAAGGTCTTCATTCTCATAGACCTGGCATCTAGCTTCCAAGACTTAGGTGGTGTGGTCAGAGCCTTTTCCAGTGAAGACTGAGGCAAAGAAGTCATTAACAACCTCAGTCTCCTCCAAATCCTGTGTAGCCAGCTCTCCTGATAGCTTCTGGAGGGGGCCTATGTTGTCCCTAGTCTGTCTTTTATTCTCTACGTACCTCTAGAATCCCTTCCTGCTGTCCTTAACATCCCTAGCCAAGTTCAAATAGCAAGCACTTCTATGTGAACATGGTGAATATCTGTCAGCACTTCAATAATCTTCTGATAGTTGAACATAATCTTGAGCGAAGGAGCTCAACAATACATCTTTACCTTCATTTGCATCAGTCAGTTTGATTTCCTAAGATGACACTAAGTGAATGCTCACTAATTCGTAAATCAGGGGACAGAACGGCTGTCAAGCAGCCTCCTCAGTGTCCAGGTAGCTTCTGCACCACCTGGGGACCAACTGACTGCCCACAAGAAGTTGTTTCAAATGGTTTGGGCCTGCTTTTGCCAGAACCAAGCTTACTTTTAATTGAAAAAGTGCTGATCAGCAGAATTCATTTCACCCTAAGCAATAAAATGTACCAAGTGAAGGTGAGGGACAGCAAGAGATATGTCTCTGTGTATTACTGAATAAGTTTTAAAACAAAAATCAGTTTAAATGGGAAACTGACAATCCCTTCAGGAAAAAGCAAGTGCCATAACTGAGGATCCTGCGATGAAAAGATCTGATGAGCTTGCTATTGAGGTAAGCTCAAAGAGCATGAACGTATCTGGTGTAACAGGCAGAGATCTAAAGCTGTGCAGGGTCTTAAAAAATCCTGAGGAATCCAGGTGTGGGGGAAATCCACACTGGGACAAACATAGGACAAACAACAGGCAAAATACCAGTATCTACAGGCAAACTTTGGCAATGTATTTAAAGAAAGAGCTGTACCTAAAGCCAAATGGGAAGAAATAAAAGGAAAAAGTCAAGAAAGGCAGAGATCAGTGAGAAAGCACTAAAATGTCTATACATCAGAGGACAGTCTGGGCAAATGAGGAAAGAACTGGAGCTACTAGCATGGGACAAAATTGACTCCTTTAAAGGTCACAGAGGAGGAAAGAGCAATCAATCATGCTAAGAACACAATTGAGCAATTTCAGGAGCCAAAGATAAAAAAAGGTAAAGGTGACTAAACAGCGTTGTGTGTTAATTATGCGATAGAATTGGTCTGGATCAGTTAAAACTAAATAAATAGGGTAGAGTGAACTGGCAGGGAAGGAATTTCACTGCCAATTGAATTAATTATGCCAGAAGTTAAACTGTATCTAAATCTGACATTAAGGAGGTATTCTTAGGAAGTAGGTCTTCACAGCAGATCTTTATATTTAAGCTGTAGGACCATGCTAAATATAGGAAGTCTTCATTATTTTCATGTGGGTTGGATTTCTTTACTAGTCACTAAAATAAATGGGTAATTTAGACCCCATTTCAATAATTAGTCTTGAATCGAATGATCATATATTGATTCAGTTAGAGAAAGAAAGCACAAAGTCATTCTATAATTCACAGTTTTCATTTCAAAGTGTATGCTTTGAGAAGCTAAGAGAAATCTACTGAACCAAATTTCTCAGAGTAAGTTACGGACAAGGCTTGGAATATTTCACAGAATCAATGATTGAGGTTGGAAGGGACCTCTGGAAGTCATCTTATCTAACCTCCTGCTCAAGCAGGGCCACCTAGAACCAGTTGTCCAGAACTTTTGAATATTCTTAGGGACAGAGAGTCTACAACCTCCCTGGTCAACCTTTTCCCATGCTTAGTCATCCTCATGATAAAAAAGTGTTTCCTGATGCTCAGGAGGAACCTCCTGTGGTTCTGCTTGTGCCGATTGCATCTTTCCCTAAAGTCAAAAGTTTCAAGTCAAAAGGTGAAAAAACAGCAACAGAAGCCAAACCCTCCCTGAACCCCAAACTGGACAAAAACAAACAAATAATAAATAAAATAAAATACAAACCCCACCCAAACCAGAAGGACAAGCAGATGAAGAATTTTAGGTAATAAATTTCATATTTTACTTACTAATATTGATCTTCAGAGAACATCTCTCTTCTTTGCATTTCTTGCTGCCTTTTCTTAATTTCAAGTCTCTCTGCCTATAGCATTAAAACAAGGAAAACATAACTGAGATTTTAGTAAGTCAGAAACAAACACTGATTATTTCAATTTAAGAATTTCAATATTATGTTTTTGGTTGGTTGTTTGTTTTTTTTTCAAACAGCTATAGCAGCAGTTGGGTACAGAAGTGACCCAATCTCAAATTTAAAAGTATTCAGGTATGACCAAACAGCTCTTAGTCAAGAGACTAGTCTGAAATACAAAAGCACAAGGTCCAGCGGGAACAGCACTCAAAAGGCACCTCAGTGTATTAAAAGCACAAATCAGAAGTGCCAAACTGGGATTTCAGCCCTGCTGTATTTTGAGCAGAACCTCCCCCACTGCAGTTGGTGGGGGTGATGCTCCAACAGGATCTCCTACCCAAGGCTCACAAGTAGCACATTGAGCAAACTGCAACCTTGGACTGTTACTGCTCATCACCCACCCTGACAATGAAAACCAGTAATTGTTGGGTAACCCAGCAACCAGTCATTGCTCTAAAGAAAGTGCCCTGGAAATTTCAGACAATGACTTGCAGAGAAGGGAGGTGTAAGTGGGAATGACCTGTTTGCTCGGAGCCCCATATCAGGGACAGGACACTGTACCTGGGTGGAGGTTTTGTGCAGGGCCATGTAAAATGGGGTGTGTGCTTGTGAAAAGGGGAAAGTGGTGTTAGAAACTGGGCTATAACCCCCACCCCCATCATTTTCCTCTTGTTCTGCAATCAATAACATTTCAGTAAAATTACAGTTCTACTGGCAGTTACTCAATTACTTTGCCTTCAGTAATTTCAGGGTGAGCATTTTTTAATTGGATAAAGAATGACTGTCTGGAAGAGATTTGCAAAACAAGTGCAAATTCCTCCTTGGCATGTATTGAATTAAGACAAAAAAATCCTGTCAGATGTCTGCTGATGGGAAAAGAGCCACTGTGCTGTGCAACAATATAAACTGTTGGAAGGCAAAGGACTTGTTATTTAAAAAAAAGCAATGGGAAACTAAACAAAAGGAGGAAGATGAATTTCAATAAGATGTCCCATTGCTCAGTCATTTGTCATGCTGAGACAGTGGTAGTACTGATGCAATTAAAAAAAAAAAATCAAACTAAAGTAAGGTATTTCACCCCACAATATAGGTAAATTTTGACAGTGTTCAATGAACATCTTGTTTGCTCCTACTCAAAGACAGATGATTTTGTAGGCAAAAGGCTCCTACCCATCTGTGCAACTTAACAATTTACAAGGAAAAAAAGGACAGAGCAAGAAAGGAAATCTGACAGCATCTATTATTGTCAAAATTGATGTTGCTACCCTCAGACATCAGTAACAGCTCCCAGGCTTTTCCCCAACATGGCTCAACATAGCAAGCTGATACCTTCACCTCTGAAAACAACACTTGATGTGGGATCCACCATCATATTGTAAGCCTTCTGAAAGTTCAAACCCAAAGCTCACCAGAGATGCTGTGGTCTAGCTCCTAGCTAGAGCACCACAGTGATGTTAACTTTGAACAGTTCTTCAATATCACCTCCATCTCACAGTAGATAAAAACAAAGGAAATACCCTACAGCTATTTAGAATGGTGCCTGAAGAATACTCCAGCATATTGAAATTGTTTACTTGTGGCTGGTGTGATTGTTTTCTCCTCTGGAGGTTTACTCTGGGACCCATGCTTAGGACAGACAATGGGATTGGGACATTCTCTAACTGATGATAATCTATCAATAGACGTTGCCAAAGTACTCCACATTTGGCACAGGCTTCACAAACAAAGCCAAGAGCAGAACAGCTGTGATATTGAAGGTAACCATGTTGAAAAGCATTAGCAGAAGGTCTGTAAAGTGCCTGGTTTTAACAAATTCCCGAAAAAGGCCTTTTATGCTGATTAACACAGTCAAATTAAAGAGCACATGATCTGATAAAGAATAAAATGAAATTACAGCTTATTCTAAATAGGACAGTTTCCATCTAAAGATGGCAGGGCTGTTACTATGTAATGTAAGGGCAAAAGAAATTTGCACACAGTAGAATTACACTAAGCCTTTTAACATCTTTTGAATCTTTAAATATTTCATCAAGATTTAGACTATACAAGAAAAGTAGGGTAATAGGAACAGAGACTGAATGGCAGGAAACAAATATCCAGTGCACTAAGTTATGCTATTTTCTGTAAAGCACAAATTCAGAAAGCTTAAAAACCAAAAAGCCAAATATCACCCACTTGTTTATTTTTCTGGGAACTTTGACAATCCTTCCACCCAAAATCATAGAATCACAGAATCAACTATGTTGGAAAAGAGCTTTAAGACCATCAAGTCCAACTACTACCCCCGGACTGCCAAGTCCACCACTAAACCATGTCACTGGGGGACTCATCTACATGGTTTTTGAACACTTCCAGGGACGATGACTCCATCACTTCCCTGGGCAGCCTGTTCCAATGCTTGAGCACCCTTTTGGTGAAGAAATTTTTCCTAACTTCCAGTCTAAAGACACAAAGAAAGTGTGATTGAGTCTGATCAAAATCTGTGATATGAAGGGCTACACAAAAGGTATCTAAGGTACTAATGGGTAACTAATAACAGTGCTACTTTCCATGTACTCCCACACTTTCTGCAGAACAGACACACATCTCAGCATTAGGGACAAATACAGAAGTACAGACTTCCCTGCTAGTGCTACAAAGTCTTTCCAAAATTACTTCAGTGAGCACTGAAAGATCACTACCTTAGAATAATATACAAACTCATGCAGCCCAGAGTTATCCCATGAACAAATCAAAGCAGTCCCAGGACAAGTTCCCTGATGGGGAGTGCAGGGGATCCCAAATCCCATTTACTGCTCCACACAGACATTTGAGTGCCAATTCATACAAACTGGGCCTGTGGGGGGACCTCACAGAATGAGGGAGAAGGATTCACCCTACTCTATGGGAGCTGGAGAAGGACAAGGCAGATGCCAAGACCATTGGCAGTCCAGCACCAAACCTCATGGTTAATGAAAATATGACATAGACAAGCAGGTGGACTCGCACAGATGGTAAGGCAGACCTTCCACATTTGGGTACTGCTTTGGCAGGCACCCAGTTTTCTCTTGGTCACAAAGGTAATGGGAGAGTGGATACAGCTTTTCTCTGCAAAACCATCATTAAAGCAGTAACATAAACAGATCCTGTGTTTATAAGCAGCACTGGCTTACAGTACATCATCTTTACAATCAAGGAAGAACTGAGCTGGGTACCAGCACCCATTCCAGTCATTGCACATTAGTCCACAGGGCTTCACCATTCATATTTGTTGTGAAAGTTTCAGAGGCCCTGCTGATAAAGCGGACTAGCCATTATCTCCTATCAGACTGTCTGACAATTTGGGTTTTATTGAATCATAGAATCATAGGATCATAGAATGGTTAGGGCTGGAAAGGACCTCAAGATCGTTGTCCTGGTTTTAGCAGTAGCAGTCATTTTTCTCTTTCTCGGTAGCTGGTGCAGTGCTGTGTTTTGACTTTCGGGCTGGGACAGAGCTGATAAAAATGATGTTTTGGTTTGGCCAAGGACTTTGTGAGCCTCATGCTCTGCCAGGGAGGAGGGAAGCCGGGAGGAAGCAGAGACAGGACACCTGACCCAAACTGACCAAAGAGGTATTCCATACCACAGCACGTCATGCCCAGGAGGTAACTGGGAGTTACCCGGAAGGGCTAAGTGGACTGCAGGGTTGGAGGAGGTATGGGTCGGTGCTTGGTCGGGCTGGGGGGGCGAATTATTGGTCGCCTGGTGCTGAGGTGTTGTATTCTCTTTCCTTGTTATTTCCTTTATCATTACTATTATTGGTGGTAGCAGTAGTGATTTGTGTTATACCTTAGTTACTAAACTGTTCTTATCTCAACCCGTGGGAGTTGCATTCTTTTTGATTCTCCTTTCCGTCCCTCCAAGAATAGGGGAGGGCAAGAAGGGAGTGAGTGGACAAGCTGTCTGGCTGGGTTCAAACCATGACAGTCATCTAGTTCCAAACCCCTAGCACAGGCAGGGAAGCCTCACACTAGACCATGGATAATAACCTTCAGCAAAAGGACTTGCCAGCAAGAAAAGAAAGCTTGTGCATTTGTAGAAAGGCATGCTCTCCACTGAGTTCCTGCAGGTGCAATTGTCTACAGATCTATCACTTCAGAAAGTTCTCCTGCACTAACCAGGGCCTAATGTTGCTTGTACAGTACCAGTTCTTTAGGATCCCTTTCCTGTCATACTCTGCTCTTGGGAGCCTTTCATCTGCAGGCAGGGTGAGGCAGCCAAATTGACTCTAAAAAGAAGCTTTTCAGGATGCTTTCCTTACACACAGAGCTAAATTTTTTATATAAAAATATCTTCCAAACAGAAATCATCATCAGCTCAATCACTGTTGTGGAAGACAGACCAAATAAAGGAGTTCAAATTAAGAGTTCCCTTTCATGCTGCTCTGTTTTGTTTGTTTGCTTTGTCTGTATATGTTTGCTTATTCAAATTAAACCGTCTGTTTGGCAAAGATGTTTTGCCATGATGTAGCATTCTGCTTTATAAGAAACTGATAGTTACAGTTTTACTATCTACAACACCTATAAAGATTTTATATTCTGTGGGAGTGAAGGGAAAGAAATTAAAGAGCATGAAAAGAAAACTGATACCTCAATATATTTGTTAGGTGTAACTTCAAATTATAGCAGTCTTGCAACATCTTTCGTGTCAAAACCCCATGGGGAAACAATATTTTTAATACATAAATAAAGTATAATTAATCCTCTTTCTACAACTGCTATCATCACTGCTTCTGGAGCTATACATGAGCTGGTAACTGTTAATGACATTTTCACATGACAGCATTTATTGCCCCTGTGAGCTATTGGGTATGGGCAAATATTTATTGCCCAAAGAGCAATGCTAACTGCTGAAAGACTGGGAACAGACTAACCCTTACCTAGAGGCAATTAAGGCTATTTTTGTTTGTGGGTGCCATCGTAAGCTGTCCAGCAGTTATGATTTTTTAAATTAACTCTCAGCATTCAGCTTCTGCACAGATCATTTTTGCTGTTGTGAATACAAATCCTGCAAACCTGAAATCTCCCTTTCTGTTATCATTACTGTGTACATCAGTATCATGCTCCTCCTCTTTTATTTTTTTAAGTTCCGCATTACAATCTCAAGAGATTGTTACTTGGTTGCCACCAAGGAGACATGAGTTAACTTTTGCAAAGGTTTATGCAATACACAGTATAAGATCCTTTGTGAGAATAACTAGGAAAAAAACCCAAAGAAACATAAAATCAAACATAGTACTTGAAAGCTAGCTACCATTGGTGTCAATGTATGGTGAATATTAGAAGGAAAAGTGACCTTACATATAAGCAATACACCTGGGTGTGCAAGCCCCAGAGGGGCTGGAGTGGCATTTGAATTTCAGGGTGAGCTCAGCACAATGCAGATAGACTACACTGACCTGTTCATGATTTGGATTCCTTTTCCACCAATACAGGCTGTATTTTCTTGTATTCTTCCCATGTATACAGCAGGCAACTACGAATTTCTGCAAGGTCTTTGTTCAATCTGCCACAATCTGATTTTACAGAGAAAGCTCATGCCAAAGTGAACTATATAATCTGTATACACAACAGTGTGTGACCTGTGTTCCTCTGACCCTAGTGTAATCCCTTTCTGCTAACTCTTTAGGATGGGTGCAATTGAGATACTGGAGTTTCTGAAGAGCCAGAGTAATGCTCAAGCCCCAAAGATCACCAAGTAAGGCATCCTTTAGTCAAAGGAGAACTGGATTTCCTAACTCCTTGATGCAATCCAGGGCTACCATTTAATTTGTCTGTTCCATGTAGTTCAGTTAAATCAGGTATCAAGACATGTCCTTTGTTTTATAGCTCCAACTCTGCAGCAATTATACTTACCTTTTCTCTCTGCAGTGCTTTCTTTTTCAGGATTTCAGTTTCTTCGGCTTCCTTTTTTGCTTTTATATATTCTTTTCTCTTGTGCTGTATTGACATAAACATAGAAAATAATTTTACATACATATGAATACAAAGAACACATAAGGTGACTTGACTTCACTCCTGCAATGCATGTCTTTCAAATCTAAATTGTATTTGAGGAAAGTTTACAGATTTTTTTCTTATGGTGAGACACTGAATAAAGGAGGCCGTGCATCAGCTACTCCGATATCAGCTTTAAGATGGCTGAGAAATCTAGGAGTGATAAATGGGTATTTATGCAAGGAATCACACAGTTGATAGATAACTTAATAGCATTTAAACCTTTTATAATAGGAACAACATCTCTATATAAGCACTGGATGGGGTGGTATATTGATCAATTAGTTGAAGTGTAGGCAGCGTGCCAGATGATACAGGGAGGCATATAAGTAGCTTTACAACCGTATGGGTTATCACTTTGCATATGATCTGTGATACTGCTTGCTACATATTTATAGCCAGATTTCTCATTTTCTTTGGTGTAGAAGATTTGTTTCTAGTTTTCTACTGTTTCTTTCAGGTTTCATGTCTTTCTTTTGTAAAGCAGCTGTGAGTTCATTTTATAGCCATATGAAACACTTCATGAAAAGCAAGGGGTTTTGAGTTCTTATAATAAACAAATTTATTCTTCCTGACCTTTTGCTGGTATTTGGATTGCATGAGCGTCATTTGCTGGTTTTGCCTTACTTGAGCTTCTGATTGCTTTCCACCTGAAAGGGAAAAAAAAAAAAAAAAGAAAAAGGATAAATTGCATTTTGCATGAGCATTTTAAGTTCAAATACCAGCCATTGCAGAACAGAGCAATATAACAGATTGGATGTATGCATATACAAGAAATTTTTCATAATTACAATAGCTGCCTGACATTAAAGAGAACAGATAGGAGACCTTTTTGATCATTTTATCCATCCATCAAAAGCACTAGCTTGTTATTTACAGATCATCCACTGTATCAGCCATTCTACCAGCAAATAAGTTCTACGTTAAGATGATCAGTTTACTGAGGAACTATTCCATTCTCAGAAAATCAGTTACACTTTGCAGGTGAGCCTTCATTTTCAGATCTATCTCTCTCCACCTTTGCTCAGTTTGTCACACATACACATATAGATACAGAAATTTTATTATCAAAAAGTTTCTTTTTTATCAAGTTTAGGAGCTTGGAGTCCGCCAGCTGGTAGGATGCTATCATTTGAATATCTTCTAAGTAATATCTTGGAGATTTAGGAAGAATCACCTTTCTGAAATGGAAATCAAAACCTTTTCCCACAGACCTCTTATTCATATTCAGGTAGCAGAAGGTGTCCTTTCCAAAGGCATAAGCTCTCTTTTGAAAACATCTAAACCTTTGTCCATAATGTTCACCTTCATTTAAATAACAACAACAACAAAAATCCCACCACGAACAAACCCAAATGAAAAACCAACCACACAGAGAAAGTGATAATAAGTCTAAAGGGATGGAGAGAGTGGGTTTGATTCTATTATTTTGTCTACTTTTTTCCAAAGTATTTTCTTGCTTTAGGAAAATCAAAAAATGGTGCCTTGTGGGGTGCCTGGCATCCTGGGCTGCATCAAATGGAGTGTGAGTAGGTAGAAGGAGGTGATTCTCCCCCTCTACTCTGCTCTAGTGAGACTCCACCTGCAGTGCTGTATTCTGCTCTGGGGCACCCAACATAAGAACATGGATCTGTTGGAGCAAGTCCAGAGGAGGCCGTGAAGATTCTCAGAGTGCTGGAGCACCTCTCCTGTGAAGACAGCCTGAGGGGGTTGGACTTGTTCAGCCTGGAGAAGATAAAGCCCTGGGAGACCCTGGAGCAGTTTCCAGTGCCTAAAGAGGGCCTGCAAAAAATCTGGAAAGGGATTTTTTACAAGGTCATGTCGTGACAGGACAAGGAAGAATGGCTTAAGCTGAAAGAGGGTAGATTTAGATTAGATTTTGGTAAGAAATTCTTTACTGTGAGTGTGGTGAGACACTGGAAGGGGTTGTCCAGCGAAGTTGTGGGTGCCTCATCACTGGCAGTGTTCAAGGACAGGTTGGAGGGGGCTTTGAGCAACTTGGTCTAGTGGAAGGTGTCCCGTGGCAGAGGGGTTGGAGCTAGATGATCTTTAAGCCCCTTTCCAACTAAAACCACTCTATGGTTCTATGAAATGTAAGACAACTATACTAGATCTTTCAGGAGAGATCAATCTTCATTAAAGTAGCTTTTTCCAATTAGTAATGAAAGGTTACTAATTTTTAGGTATTTTTGTGAGGTTCAGTGGATAAGAGATCAATTCCCTAAGTGTGGCAACTTTTCTATGCACACAAATAACTGTTAAGATTAAACTCTCAAGATAAGACTGGCCATACAGTATACAAGCAACAAGCTTACAGTAGCAATAAGCACACAACTTGCATTGTAGAGTGTCTCTCCCCCAAGTCTAGAAAATAGGATCGCTACTGACCAAGTTTTAAATCTTTTTGGATGTGTGGTCTTTCTTTATAGTCTTTTATTGGCAACATTTAGAACTCTTGTGTTCACTGCATTTTTCTGCATGTTTTGCTGGACCTAAGCTCTCAACAGTTTTTCCACCATTATTAGCCACTGCCTATAGCCTTTCAGCCAGGTTTAATTCATTCATTTTGGCTTGCATGTGATGTGTCCAATGTTCCACTGAAGTCAGAGTATGTTGTGACTGATTTTATATAGTATGATCAAAAAAAGAGACTATGGCATTTATCAAGCATGATTTTTTTGCTCCACTTATTGGTCATGGAGAACAGTGGAACATGCATCTTTATTGCTCTCAACCCTCCATGGTACCTGAAAATTTGCCAGTCAAATATTAGAGAGTTGAAATCCAGAATATCTATTTCCCTATGGAACGCATGAGCGTTAGAAACTTCAAGAATTCTCTGGTGACTTGGACTAGATGTGTAGTCTCTTAAAATCACTCTGAGGAAATAATATACGATATTCTTTTAGCTTAATGAGTACCTACATTTGTGAAATTAGAGATACCACTTGTATTTTTTTCTCCTTCCTTGAGCTCTCTTCTGTTCCAAATTTGTTCCTGTGGGAATGATAAGATCTAATAATCTTTGCACCTTACCTCTTTTCAGAGGCACTGAACATAGTGCATGTGTCTCTAGGGGTCTTTTGAAGTGGCAGCTAGACACTGACTGAAGAGCTTGTATAAACTCCTTGAGTTCTTTCAGCTTTCTTTCCCCCTCTTAATATGCTTCTTTCTAAAAAACGCAGTGGGACCAGAAGAAGACTTCCCACACCCAGTCACTGCAGGTTTGCCACCACACCCCCAGTCACACAGCCAGCCTGTACACATTCTGCATAGACAACACACACAAAACTTCTGGGTTTAGATTTCTCTTTGCGTTCCTCTTGGAACAGAAGCATGTCTACTAGGAACTGCTCACAGGCAAGAAGGAGCAGTTTGAATTCACAAAGAGTATGTCTGGCTACATGACTGCAGATGAATGGTTGGGAATACAGGGCTTTACACCAAATTTCAAGGTTAGTCTCACCACTGCAAACAACTGGGACTCAGGCTGCTGGGCAAAAGAAATGTGTGGGACCAGTGTCATCTTTTCTCCGAATCACCACAAACACAAATCTTCATTGGAGTCAGTTTGAATTCCTCCATCTCCCACCTGGTACAAATTTTTATACACAGTGTACCACACCAAACTTACATTGTGCAGCATGGCAAAGAAAGAACTTAGTTCCCAGGTCAAAGCAGTTGATAACCTGCACCGTTTACCACAAATTCTCCTATGACAGCAAAGCAAAGGAAGAGCAGTTCCAGATCTACAAAATTAATAGAGGAATCATTTTAATCCTCCACTTTGTCAGAATTAATTTTGCCCATTTCTATTAGTGCAGTTCCTGAAGGTCATCCCATTTTTGCTGTGCAGTATCCTCATCATGTTCTATATGGATGATGCTTTAAAGTTTTGTCTGGCTAGCAAGTTTCATCAGCTCTTTCCTACCTTTTATGCCAAAGACATTAAAGGAAGATAGTAAAACAAGATAGGTCTGAAGACTGGTACTTCAAAAGCACTTCTAATAGCTTTCCTCTTGCTTCATCACAATCTGCAGTCTTAATTTCCCCACAAGATTGGAGGTAGGCTCATTAGTTTTTTAACTTTTCATCTTTTTTATTTTTTTTTTTAGCTAACACCCAAATAGCACTAAATTAAATTATTTATAGTGCTTACAATTGAAGAGATCTCCTATCTAGAAAAAAAATTGGCTACCTAATCAAACACATCAGTTCAGAGTGACTTAAGTTCCTGCAGCTTTTTATCCTGTTTTCCATTTACCTGTGTCTGTTGTTATTTTTGTAAAATTGGTAATACAGAGCCTCACACTAGCCTATAAATGGCTGAAGCTGAAGGGATCACTTTTGCGTTTTAAAGAGCCAGCAGTCAGGAAAGCACACGTACTGACCCCTAACACAGAGGAGTTTTCTTGTAGGTAGCTGGAGGGTCTCTGACACATGCTGTCCATCTGCACACTAATGCCAAGTGTGCACCCCAACAGAGACACCAACCACAGACAATGTCACCAGCAGGAGGGATAATCCACCTGCTTTTCCCAAATATTAGTATAGATTTTCTACACTGATCTTGACAGATTTCTTGGGTGACAGTCTATGCTGTTTTGTTTCAGAAACATCTTTGTTGTCATGACCATCAAAAAAGTACACGCAGTAGGCTCATGTCAACCCTGATGGACATTGAATCTCTTTAATAAGTAGCATGTGAGAAAATGTGAAAAATGCCTCATGACCTGGAAAATATATTTTTGTAACTCATAATAGATGATTTGCATGTCTTACCCAGTCTCTGTGGAGCCAAGTTAATAGGCCTTTGCCTGTGCTCTTCCTTCCACCGCTGCAGGTCATACAGCTCTTTCTTAGCAACTGAGCAGGTACAAAATGAAACAAATATATGAAAGTTAGAGGCAACACTAAAAAGGAGGCATTGTTGCTAATTTTATGTAACCCTGAAGACCATCCAAGAACAGACAAACTTGTTTTCAAGGGGTGCAGACACCCCCCAGGAGGTTGCATAGTCACAGCAATGATCAGCTAACAAAACAAACATTTTGCCTAACTTCAGACTGTATGGTGAAAAAACCCTAGGGCTTAACCTGAGACAAGGGGTGGGGGCACAAAATTACAAAATGGAATATATAAACCTTTAGAATCAGTTCTAAGTAATGTTAAGTTTCATGGCTTTTTAACAATAGCAATGGAAAATTACTGAGGTGCATGATACATAGAAAAAAGTGGAGTATAGATGGAGAGCATACTGAGAATTCTTGTACAAGATAAATTGTTATAGTTGACATAGTTTTAAGAAAAACAGTCTACAAGAACAGGACACAGGGACAAGGAGTATCTGGAAATGGCAGGTGTCCAGGATAGGCTACAGTTAAACTAACTGATAAATAGGAGGATAGGAGGATTATTATGTCTCTGGTGCTAACGAACCAATTAAACTGGTATGAGCATCTACTGCCCGTGCTTCAAAGGCTGCCAGAAGTGATGAAGATTGTTGGAAGAAGTAAACGACCCTCAGAGACCGCCACCACAATTCCTTACGCATGCGGGCAACTCTCTGGAAAATGATGTAATCCATACGTAACCTTACGAATATGTATGTATGCCCAGGGGCTATGTAAGGACGGCTAATGCAGCAATACGGAGACACACGTTAGGAGGAGCTATTCCCTGTGTCTCCCGGGGCCACAATAGAGAATACCTGCTTGTCAGCTTGAAAACTTCGTTGGCGAGTTTGTTCCTGGAGTTTTCTACGAATCAAACCCCAAAACCAAAACAAAACAAAGAGCAAAGGGATAGATAATAAACTGCTTTTTAACCTCTAGGAACCTGCAGGTAAATGCCACTATGTTTACTCTTCTAGATAAAGTAGAAGTTGTTACATTTAAGATGTTATTGCTGCATGAAGGGAAATGCTTGTAGTGTAACTCTCCCCAGCAGGGAAATTAAAAAAGTGATCTTCCCTCCCAACTACATGCTCCCTACATAACAACAGCAGGAATGCATAATTCAGTTTCAGAGTAAGACAATTCAACATCTCATCCATGTGTGGTGGGTGGCAAGTTCCCCGTGTGGCCAGGTGAAGTCTAGTCAATATAGCCAGAGGCACCAGCCTCATGCTCAAGGATGGCTGGTTGGTTAAACTGTGCTTTCAAATTGACAGACAAAGGGAAAATTAGCAAGGCTGACAAAGCCTGTGGAAAGAGGAGCTGCATTTTACAGAAGTGCATAATTCCTGTAGGCACTAATTTCACTCTTACTGAAACTAATATGAATCATATTTTCTAGTGGCAGTCTATGGCTATCAGATGATAACATCAGCTCTCCTCTAAGACAAAGCTAGTTCCTGGGCAAGTCCCTAAAGAGGCTGAAGATAGAAACCAGCTTGTTATTTCACCTTTAAAACAAGCACTTATGTGGAAACTCGACTTGTTGAGGGCATATTTCTGACAGCATCCAAGGCAGAAACACCTAGCATGTTTCAAACTTGAACACAGGTGGCACAGAGTGAAAACAGATCTTTATTAAAGCAGAAGCAACTTTGTTGTTGACATCAGAGCCAGCTCTAAGATCATGTTTTTATTTCTCCTTCCAGAAGATTATAGTTTGATTCAGGAAAAATCCATTTTGTTTCTTGCAGCCAAAGGAAACCCAACCCTATACCAATCTGATGGTGAAGCATTTGAGCTGAACTCATTATGTTTGAGAAAAAATGATTTAATTACACTGCTTTCTTGAGAGCTCAAAATGTGAGTGACATTCCTTCAGACTTTCATAACTTGCACAAATAAACAGTCAGGAATGTAGGGTTGCAGTGCTTGGTCACCTCTCCATACAGAATTTCTTTTACAACCAGCTCTTGTTGTAACTTCACCAAATCTTTCTGGTAGAAGTTATCCTGCTTGGCTACTTTCAAAGGCAAGACTTAAAGCCAAGCAAAAGTGAACTTATATCCACAGATATTTTCCATCTAAAATGATCTTTACAAGCTTCATTAAAAGAGCCACCTGCAATCCTTACATGGAGATTCAAGAACCAACAGTGGTTCTAGTTGCTTTAGTCTCAACATTTCTTATTTTTCCTTCTTCCCCCCCTAACCCAGAGAGTGTTCAAAGTTGTGTTCTGCCATCTGACCTCAATCCTGTAAAAGTGGGACAGAGCTAATTCCAGATGCGTCTTGTAGAATCCAATTTAAACAGCTCCAGCACTGGAATTACCAAAAACCTTTTCCTGAACAAGGCTTATTCCTCATGAAGTTTAGCCAGATGAGAAGTTAATCCTACAAAAAGCCTACATTATGATGAAGAATGCTCATAGCACTGACTTCACTTTTACCACTGCACACAGAAAAACATTGTGAAAATGAGGATGAAAGTTGCAAAAGCAAGAAAGTGCACAAAGCCATACATTTATTCAAACAGAAACAAGGTATTACCATACTAGACAACCCAACTTACTTTGCTGCAGCTGGTTTCTTCTGGTTTTGTTTGGAGTTATCAAGACATAAGGGCCGACACTAAAAAGAAAGAAAACAGTTTCTTGTCTGCAGAAAACAAGGACTAGATGGGGGCTGCTTCATCAGCTTTCTGCTGTTGTAACAACTAACTTTGTATCAAACCTGCTATTTAATTTGATTCAGCTCTTCAAGAATTTTTTGTAAATACTCTAGGTATACTTGTTATTGTTGGAGTTGGCTGCAAATACTAAGGATAACATTTTAGCATAGCCTTCACTTTTCTTATTCAAGCCTCATGCCAGATTGCTGACCTCAAAAATCACGCATTTCAAATCAAATTACTTCCTTGAATCAGAATGTTCCATGCAGTAGACAACTACTTCCACAGCTCGCTCAGGCACAAAGAAGTCTACCAGGAAGAGCCCTGGTGCTCCAGTCCCACCCCATACATCAAGGGCACCTCACGGGCACCACCTTGTGGGTTTAGGCAGTCTGCCCCAAAATAGTCCAAGGAACATGAAAATCACACTGTGATGGACCCAGATGACTTGCTCTCTTCCCAAACCTTAGCTTCTTTGTCAGCCTTGTGTTTGTCAGGCAGGAGGAATTCCTTGGGTGTATTTATCTTGCTGTCATACCTAAGGTACGACTCACTGAATCAGGACAAAGGCCCTGTTTGCTAGACTCAATTCAAAATGCAGTTGCTGTCTCGGGGAGCTATCAATCTAATGTGACAGCAAAGAGGCAGGACAGGGTTCAGAGTGTATTAGAGACTCCAGGTGATCAAAAGAGTGATGAAAACATGTCAGTTCCACTTGGAGAAAACAAAGGGGTTTATCAGACAGTGTATTGTGCAGGTAGGAATTTATACTGCTCCCACTCTTCAGAGGCTGAGCCACAGGGGTGCAGGTTTACCAGAAAAGCACTAAGAGCAGTTGGCTCCATGTATCAGAGTAAGCTCAGTCTCTCAGCAGCATTCAGCAAGGTTTTACCTGAATGCATGGTCACACGTATTTCATCTGACTTCATTATGAAGAAGGCCCAAGGAGAAGAGCAGACAACAAAGAATAATGAGGGGTGAAGGCTGAGCCTCTTAAAAGAAGAAAGGGCCACAGAGGTTGGCTAGAGGACAAAATAGAAAGTGGAGAGACCACTGTTGGCTGTGGAAAAGTAATGAGAGAATGAGTCCTGAGACTAAAGCTGAAAAGGGAATAAAAATCATGCAAAGAGATCAAAGTGCAAAAAGCTGCCTGCTGCTGTATCGCTGTAATTCAGGGTTTGGGAAGGAAAGTATTTATATCCAATTACCTCTTTCTCTTTGAAGACTTATTCCAGGAGGCTGTGGATTAATTTATGAGATTAAACTAGTAAAGATAGAGCTGTGAACTTTAATGGTGCCATTTATTATGATCCTTTCCCTTCCTGCCAGCATAGCCTGGTGCCCATGAGACTGCTCTTCTCCTCACCTCTCCACCAAATCCCAGGCCCTCAAAGGCAGGAGCTAAGACAGCAGCAACACCCCTCTGGCATTCGCTTCACAAGTACAACAGTGACTTAAAAGAAGTTTTGACAACCATCTTGCTTATGGCATAACATTCCCCATCAGTGATGTTTCTTCAGAGTTTTCTTTATTTGGCCGAGTAGTAGCATTTGCCTTATCCCAGATTGCCTTGACAAGCTGCTGTGCAGTTATCAGTGCCACAAATTTTTTAGTAGTTTTTTTTTTTTTTTGGCTGTTTCAGATATTAAGACCATATTTCTCTCAAGTTCATGCATAAAAAATAAGGATCTCACAGCCCCCTCTCTTTGTCAATGAAAAAAAATGGCTGGGTTGCAAGGCTACATATTTCTACCCCCCAAAAAAGCCATCAGTGCACCTCAGACATCGCACTGCTTCACAGCACTAGAGGACAAAAGAGTTTTTACATCATCAGATGCACTTTGATGACTTCCAACAGTGTTTGATTGGTTGCTGTTTTAAACATTAGGAATCGTTTTCAAAAGAAAATGTCTGCCTGCACATGCATGAGCAATCACGGTATCAGTTCTAGTCCTTATGCCATGAATCATTTCCTTTATCTGCTTCTGCTTTTTTGCTGGAAGGCTAGGAGTCTGGGAGGCCAAGTGGGGGCCACTCTTCTGATATGTGATCATGCTCATTATCTCTGAGCTCAGAAGGACAGCACATGCAACACAGCAAAGGTCAATTAGTTTATAAAAGGCTTAGAGGTGACAATACGCTTATTGCCAGGGAAAGCTATGCTCTGTCTACCAAAGAGAGGTGTAAAGTCATTGTGATTAAAAGAGTGTTTAATTAAAGGCCAGTTTGGTTTCCATGTTATTGAAATAAAGGCAAAAAAATAAAATTAGGATGTCATGTCACCAGTTGGAGAGGGTAAGGAAGAAGAGGATACCATCTTTTGGTTGTCTATTACCTGGTGCTTATACTACATGTTTTATTTTACTCCAAGTTAAGAGTACATAAAATAGAAGAAAAAGCATTAGTAAGTTTATCTAATTTTATACTGTTCACCTTTGTCTCCAGAGAGATAGATATGTACGGTATGGGTACTGGGATCAGGGGAAAGAAAGAGCATGCACATGGTAAACTTCTTGTGGAGTGGGTGGAAGCCTACAAGCCTATAGCAGGAGGGGAGACAGATGGGCTGTTGCTTTAGAGACTTCACCTGCCCTACCAGTTTTAAATTAAAATCTATACCTAGTGTCCCTTGTTTTCTTGAGATTATTTTGAAGGAAAGCAGGTTAATGCAAAAAACCCCACCACCAGCTTTCACCTGGGTTTTTTTTTGCCAATTTGCAGGATATTGCATGTTATTTCTTTGTTCAGACAAAACCTTTGTTCCAGTAAAGCCCATAAAACCCGCTACAGTCTGTCAATTTAATATTCCAGTCAGTTTCTGAGTTGTCACAGTAGCCGTAAGTCTGGAGCATATGATCCTACTTACCTGGGTAGCAATTAAGGAAATGTGAAAATCTGAAGCTATCGGTGGAGTACAGACTTTTTATACTTTATGCCAATATATGAAGTGCTTCAAAATTCACAACCAAATAAGATGATAAAGAATTTAACTTTACAGGTTCCTTACCAATGATTCTTACTGTTACATGACTTGAGACTATCTTTGAAGTAGGGTTGTTTTATAAATAAAAATATAGAAGTCACTGGAGGAGGTGGGGAGAACATCTTACCCACTTTATAACTCTTCAAAAAAGGAGAAGCAAATTGTCTTCTACCTTTATAGATCATATAAAGCTTGATAAGACTTTTTTTTGTTTACTTTGTCCACAGAACATGGGAATGTATTGACTAATTAGAGAGACTGAACAGATATTAATAAGAAAGTTATAACCCAATAAGAGAATGTATCTGTATTGAAATGAAACCAAAATGCAACCTCATATGATTTTTCAGATAGATGTCAAATACCACAGTAGTGGGAAGATAAGTACCTAGACAACAATATATATATAAATAGAAATATAGAGAGAAACTTTTCGGTCTGGATAAACATGCAACAGAGTCACAGAAAATTGCCAAAGACAGTTTCTAGTTTGAGTGACCAGCAACACAGAGAACACCGTGTTTGCCACCTTAAATTCTGCATCTTGTGTATAAGTCTATTCATCTAACTAGCACTACTCAAGAGCACCTTTTCAATGTTTTAAGGGTATACCACAGAAAGCTTTGTTCTACTTTCAGATTTGTATAAAATAGCTTATTTCTAACATTGAAAAAACATGAGAACTGCCATTTACCAATAATGTTTTCTGTAGAGCTGTGTCCTTGAGCTTTTTCTCAAGCCTACTCCAGTCACCCACCACTGGAGAGCTTTCTAAATGACGTGTGAAGTAATTTAAAGAGTTACGAAAGTAATGGCTATTGTGAAATATTTCCAGTTCTACTGTGTTTTATGCTGAGGTGCACCTGTACATGAATGCCGCAAAGCTACAAGCTAAATATTTTGCTCTGCTGGGCAATGGGCTCTATGTAAGAGACCGAATCTGAGTGTAGTTGGAGAGCAACACAGATGATTAAAGTCTGGGAAGAAGATCTGAGCAGGTTCAGTTTGGAGAAAGGACAGAAGTGAAGATATAGGTGAAATACTGCATTAAACACTATTAAGACTGAATTTAAAAGGGACCAAAGTGCCAAACACAACTGTTAAATCTCATTCAAAGATGCATCAAGCTAAACATTGTAGTCAATTATCAGGAATTGTTTTAAAAACATCCATGACACCACAAAGTATTGTGTTCACCAATGCTCCCATGCCTGATGAAACAGCCATATGCTGCTAAGCACCATGGAAGCTGTCAAGTCAGAGAGCTACAAGAAGCCAAATCCCAGTGAGTAGGCAACTGTCCTGTAGGTATTTCTATGTTGCAACGCCCACCAGACCAGATGCAATTAATAACTGACAGCCACAGCTCAATACGCTCTATGCCATGGCACTGCCATAAGCAGAGCTCCAGGAGGGTATACAAACCTTGCAAGCAGGCTTGAGTCTCTCCCTTTCTATCTTTATCAGAAGCAGCATCTTACCAGTTTGCAGCTCAGAGACAAAAGTGAATTACTGGGCCTAAACACTATACACTGTCTGATTCATCCTAGCTGCATGTGTACTCTTTACATGAGAGGCAAAAAATAAAGTGCATTAGCAGAAAATGTTTATCATCAAAAGTCTACATTCATGGATTTTGTCCTCTTTTTGCCACAGGCTAAGTGTGAACTTAATTACTACAGTTCATCTGATGCCTCGAAGCTTATTAAGCCAGGGCAACTCACTTCTCTATCTGGTCCCTCTGGTTAGCTAAAGCTTTCATTAAAACAGACAATGTTTTTGCCATAGTGAGTTAAATCCTGTAGAAGTGAACTTACGTGGGGGAAAAAGCAGGAGGAAAGCAGCAGCAGAGAGAGGCCCTGGAGAAGGTAGGAGTCAGAAACAAGCAGGAAAGCAACAGAACTGTGGTTCTGCTGTTGGCAATCAAATCTCAGTCCTGTTACCCACAAGCTTGTAGAGAAATTCCTGAAGTTACAATTTGGTCCAAAGAGTAAATCTCAGAACTGAATTTCCAGAGTTAAGATGGGGCTCAGATTCAGCAGCTTGGTCAGGGCTCAGCATGTGACAGCACAGTAGAAAGAAGAGCAGGTGCTTCAGCCAGCATCCCATTTTGGACAATCTCAACCACCTTCTAAAGCTCTAAGGAAATTGTCACAGTGATGGACTAAACCAGTGAGCCAAGGGGTACCCCTCAGCTCAAACATGGCTCACAGAAAAGCTTTCTCTCTTCTCTGGAAATGCTAACATGTCATTAAGTCAGCATATACTCTCGAGCACCAGAGTGAGTTCGCTGTGCCAGTGTGACAGGCTAATATCAGAACCAACAAAGTCTGATGAAATCAAATACAGCTGTGTTTATGCTGTCCCCATGTCCCAAAGCAGCTCAGCTACCTCAGCACAGCACAGTGCCAGGGATGCGGTGGATGTGCCAGAGCCAGCTGGAGCACATGGTAGTCACTAGCTGTGAGAAGCACAAAGTATCCATACACAGGCTGGCTGGGCAATGGGCTTGGCAATACCAGTGCTGAGCAGAGCTACCTCCTGCAGAGGTATCCATGTGTTGTGAGTCAGGCTTGCCAGCATGCCTGGAGAGCTGAGCATGTCAGATGCAGTATCCCATTAAGACATACACTAGTGGCGTGTTCACCTCTGCTTCCCCTACTTTCTTTTCAACAATATATTTCATCCACATCTGCCTCGCAGTATCTGTTGTCTGTTCATTTCCCCTGCCCAAACACAGTATCCTCCCATATGTTCCTTCTCCACCATCTTACCACAGCTCCTCATCAGGCTATGCACCAAGGGAACATGCCAGGTCTTGTGCACATCCAGCTCTTCTGAGAAAATCTTCTAATACAGGAATTAGGAGGGCTTACTCCCCACCTCTATAAAGAACACAGCAGCCACCAGAATCCAGACTAACAGAAATCTTACTGCAGTTATCCTTTTATGCCGACCTGCCACCAGCCACTTGGCTGCAGACAAGGCTGGCTACTGACAACTGTGAAGGCAAGCATCTCTGGGCTGTAAAGATTAGTACATCAGCCTGAAAGATAAAGAGTTGGGAGATTTCTCCTGTGCAGCAGAACTCAGCTGTAAACAGATTGTCCATAATTCAAATTACCCTTCTAGCACTCCCACCACTGACAGGGCAGGGGTTAAAAGAAGCATTTTGCTAAGCATCTGCCTGCCATTTCATAGAATAATTTGGTGCTTTTAAAAACAAATTTCAGACTGTGAAACAAAATAAAATTTTCAGAAGAACTTCTAAATATACTCTGTCAGAAAAAGATTGAGAATTCTGACAATACTATGACTATTTTTCTTTTTAATTTAGGATGAAGAATGGAAAAGGAAGAAAAGAAAAACCCTGACGGATTTAGCTCCAGCAGTCAAAGAATACAATTTTATGAGTCAAGCATTCTCTGCTCTCATTTCACACAAAATGATGAGGGATTGTTACCAGCTGTGTGACAACGTATCTTCAGATTTTATTATCTGAATTTGATTTTTTTTAATGGATTTTACCAGAACCAATATTATTCTTGCCAGCTTTAAAGGTGCCAAGGGCAGAATGCTGAATGAGAGCAGCATTTTCTTTTTTCAGGCAGTAGCTATAGTTCAGCCTCTAATTTCCCCAATTTCCTCCACTTTTTCTTCATATAGGCTTTTGTTTCTGAATAGACATGAACAGGGGCAATTTGTGAATTCACTTTCTACAAGTTAATTTCATGGTACTTAGCAGACAAAGTGAAGTAACTTACATTCAAGCTTATTATTATCTGCAGTTTCAAGCACTTGTCATCCTGGTGATTTTTTCTCCATGGCCTGAAATCATATACTATATATAACTATAAGGGGATGTGCAAAGTTTGATTGGAATTTTACATTTGAAAAAGTATTTTTCTTAACTTAATTAGGACCATTTTACTATAACTTCTCAGCCTTGACATATATAAGGGCTTTTCCAAAGCAAGAGAAAAATTACCCTCTAATATCAGTTGCTCACCTTGTACTTTTTAACAGTCAAGTTTGAATATTGACTAGTGTATAAGACCACAACATGTCACATCCCCTATGTATTTCATGTGTCCAGTCTACATGAAATGTCACCAGATACCACTGACATTCTGCAAAGGTGTTTCCCCACTCCCAATTGCTCTGAAGCACAGCTTCAGACTGAGGGTTTGCATGGAAACAATTCACACAGAGACTTCAAAAGAGACTCCAACTTCTGTTTTGCTGGCAGCAAAACCACATCCTGCTTGTTTTCAAAAAACAGGAAGCAGCAGACAAGCTGGAATAGAGGCACCCACTGGCACAGAGGTGTCCAGCTTGGGCCCCTCATGCTCTCCCTGCTATGCATATTCCAAAAAATCTTCTAGGTTAATGTTAGTCTGTGCATCTTTTCTTCTACTGATACCTTATGACTTCAGCTGTCCAACTGCTCTGTTCAACCCCTGGTTATACAGGGTCTGAAAACCTGGACTACATTGAGGGTGTCTTAGCATTTTAGTTTTAAAGATCATGTTCAAAAGGTGTGTTGGCTAAATGCTGAGTCAGCTTTATCACTGTTAAAATTACATTTTAATCTGAGATCTTGCTTGAAATATAACTTGAGAGAGCTAAAGATAACAATGAATGAAATAGCAATTTTATAAAGAGCAGCCCTTGCCTCCTTCAGCATTTCAGACCCTATCTACCATTTCAACCTGAGTTAGTTAAAGGAAATCATAGTTTCAGCAGTTTCATCCCATCCAGACTGACTGCTAGCATCCCCCTCCTCAAGAGAAGGAAGTAAACACCAGTCTTGTTTGTTTTTTTGAGTATGTTTCCCACTCATGCTACACAGTTTCTGTTTGAATCTGCCTTTCCCTCACCTCTCCTCACTGGCTACATAGTAACGCCGACTTTAATTTGTAGGCTCCATGTTTAAGAATTAATTCTTTGTTGCAACTTTATGAAAACACAGAATCTCTCTATCACATAGCAGAAAAACTGTCAGCAGTCCCTGCAGTGGATGCACAACTGCTTTCTGTAAGCATCATACAAAGATGAAAAATGGAACAAGGTTTTAAATTATTCTTCCCCCAAGGCTTATTTAGCTTTAAGGAGGATTCCATCATAGGGGTTGGAACTAGATGCTCTTAAGGTCCTTTCCAACCCTAGCCATTCTATGATTCTGTGATCATCTGGTCAGAATCTGGGTGAACACATTTGCTCTAGCCTTCAATTCTATTGGGGATCTCAGGCTAACCAATTGGTTAAGCATTCATGTAACCTGTACCAGGAGGTTTGTATCCCAGACCAAATCTGGACAAAGACAGTTATACCAATGGGAAAACTCTCACTATCCACTCCCTGGCCTCTGTGCCCCTCCAAAACACAACAAAAAATTATACATAGCACAAATACACAAGCAAACTTAGGGCTGCCTGTACTCTACTGTGAATATATGCCAATGTTAGGGCAGACAAGAATGAGCGTCTTTCATGTTTTGAAGTGGCAGGAAATAAACAAAGATTGTAACTCAGGAATGGCTGTTTGCTCTCCTGAAAGTCAGCCATTAAAGCGCTGAGAGATTTCAAAGCTACCCAGTCCCTGTATTGCTGCCCAGTAGGCAAGCATTTGTGGGTTATAATGGAAAGCTGCTGATCGCCGCTTGCAGTCTGCAGCCTGCCACCTCTTTCACAGTGTGGTTTCACATTCTTCGTCCAAAAGAAATGAAAGAGAACCGAAACAGTCTTCAGTTTCCATCAGCTGCACTTTGAAAGTGGGGGGAGGAGAGAAAACTAAGCAAAGTCAGCACATATAATAGCATGCAGTGTAACATGCTCTAATAGCTCAGAAAAAGCACATTTGGGGAAAAAGACTGTAAAGAATTAGATTGGGTCAGCTAAGCATATTTGTAGTAAGCACACACACATAAAATACACACACACACACACGCTACTTTCAGTTTCTATTCTGTATTATATGTGCAAGCTAGAGCTTATACAAGCCATCCAAGAACTGTCACTAGACAATCAGAGATGGGCTGAGCATAGATGCCAATAAAGCCTAAAATGAAATTGAGGGCTGAAGCTTTGGTTTTACTCTTGTCAGTATAAGTTGTATGAAGCTGTTCCGTGTCCTGGATTGCATTCAGATCAGTGCTGGAACATAGCCTTTATCATTTATCTGTTAAGCCAAAGGATGTATTTTTAGGCTTTGCAGGATGACATATTAGGAGACAGAAAACAGGGAGCTAGAATCACATTTGAAATTTCACTTTGAAAAAGGATGCCAAGAAACAGACACCACATACACCACTATTCAGATCTACAGAACTGGTCACTACTATCACACGAGGTGTAAGCCATGCTATCAGGAAGCCTGCCAGAACAACTCAGGTCCCATGTAGGAAGCAGGTGGCTGCAGAAGGATGAAGACTTTCTGCTCCTGTGCCCAGTCCTATTTACAGGATCTCTATAAAGTATTTTCACCTTTGAAGGTGCACACTTCAAGTGAAGTGGAGAACAGGCACCAGATACACGAAACACCATCTTAGGCTCCTTATTACTTACTACTGCTCTTGCTGTTGTTGGTAGCCTGATGCTTGGCCACCTTGCTCCTCTTTAGATGTTGTTGGCTTCTGGGGGTTTTCAGCCTCCTCTCTTTTGTTGTTGCTATCCCAGAGGTAATCCTGAGAGGATCCTGGGGTACCAGAGGTAGCAGCCATCCTGTACCTGCTGCCATCCCTCCATCCTTGAATTCCAGACATTGCTTCAGGAGTACCTTGGCTTGTCAGAAAGCAGTATCACTGCTAAGGCTAGAGAAAGACTCAAAACTTCTGACTTCTCAGAAGTTAGTTTCAACTCCTTTTAAGACCCGCCCCTGCCTGGACTCTCATCTGTAACACATGCAAACACATGCACTAGATTCTGAGTCACTCCCTAGCTGAAGCTCAGATTCATCATCTTTACAACAGCACCCAGGCAGACTGGAGTCGTGGGGTGACAGCAAAGCTAATAGAAGAGTCAACAGCAGTTTGTGCTGTCTTGGAATAGATTGCTTCATCCGAAGATGTGCTTAGTAGTGGACTTGGCAGTCCTAGATTAATGTTTGGACTTGATCTTAAAGGTCTCTTCCAACCTAAATGATTCTATGATTCTATGATAAGCACAGTGAGGTCTGGCTGAAAGCCATATTTCTGACAATTATTTACCCTAGCATTTCAAATTTCCCTGTGACAAAGGGGAATAACTCTAAAGGATTTGCTGGTTTCTATTTTGCAGGACTGTACAAAAAAAAGAAAATGAAAGTGAAACTCAAAATTAGCCTTCAGATAAATCCTAAGATAATGGTCCTGCACAGCTCTGATTCTGCATTTCAATTCTGCTCAACCAGAAATCCTTTTACTTTGACTTTCCTAATTCTACTTCATGAATACAGGACAAACACATGATCCTCTTAAGCAAAAACACAGATGACTTCAGTGAACGCATTTAACCACTGTTACTGTTACCTACGGGGTCTGCAGGGCTGGGGAAAACCAGCAACCTGCTCAATATATATAGTAAAATAAAGATGTTTGGCAGTTCCTAACCAAAGATAAAAAGAGCTAGTAATGCTACGCAAGCTTTATGCAGCAGAGCTAGGGAAATCCAGCTCTACACATGCAGATCTTGTCGCTTTTGGTCCTCAGCCGCTCAAGCTGCACAAACCCCACATTGCTAAAGGGATTGTTTTGTGGCCAGGTGTCCTGACTGTCCAGACTGTGTAGGTCTTACAGCACACATTACACATGCTGGAAAAGAAGCAAAATAAAATGCCACATGGAGAGCCACAGGCTGCTTGGTGTTCATGCTGCTCCTTGGGGTGCCATACGAGACTCCATCACCAGCAGCACACCTCCAAGAGGTGCCACATCCAGCAGGACATATGTCCTAGGGCTGCCCAATGATGACAGCATCAGTAGTCTTTCCCTCCCACCATTCCTCCTAACACACTCTGCAGCAGGGATGATCCTCATTTGTACACAAATCACTGCAGAGACTCTGCATGCAATGGCAGTGTGTTGCAAAGGGATTAACTGGTGCCTAGTGTTTCACACCTCTTCCGGAACTGTCTCACTTTTGGGCCGTGACTGATCTAGCCTGGTCTATGAACACACAGAAACACTGTGGGAGAGTCCAGTATACTCACTTCCTGGAGACAGATAGCAGAAATCACCCGAAGGCCCTCTGCCTGTTTTCTACCAAGCCCTGATCTCTCTAATCCCAGTGCAGCACCAGATTGCCTGCTCACACAGCCTCTGTTTTGGTTTGGAAACTGCCCGTGAGACCAGAGCAAAAAATAAACATGGACTGTAACAACCTTCTTTGTCTTGTATCATTTAAAGCTGTATGCTGTGGGCAAAGGAGTATGTCTTATCTGTAAGACATTGGGTCATAGCTCCAAGGCAATTCTAGATAATGCCAACAGCCAACATAGGCAGGTTTCTTGTTTAAGGGTGTTTCAGGTTGGTCTGGGTAAGTGTCTCCTCTGCCAGATGTCTTCAGGAACTGCTAAAAGAAAAAAGGCATTACAGTCTTGGACTAGATGTGTGGAGTTATTCTTTACCTCTTTGTGGCAAACACAGGCATTTTGTCCTGCATAGTGACAGGGCTATTAACAGAAATCAAATGCATGGCACTTTGCATGGCACTTCACAATCTGAGCCAAAGTTGCCTGAGGTGTTCAGGTAGGTCAGAAGGCTCAAGGCTTGCTGTCTTTCTTCATGAGCTGCCTGGCAAAGATAAAGGCAGGCCCTGGGGATGATCTCTTCACACAGGTTCCCCCTCCTTTTCATATACATATACATATACATTATGTGCAAGGTGCTGGCAAATGAAAGTAAGCACAAAGGTTAGTCCCTTATGCAGGAGTGTGGGGTAAATACTTGACTGTAGAGAGACTAGAAGCAGTACAAAATTATAGCAAAGTCATGTCTGAAGACTGCAAAGATTTGGGATAACAGCTGTGTCTACAGCTACACCCTATTTGGTAAAAAATCCATCTTTGACATCTGGTTTCTTTTTAAGTGATGCAGATTGATATCTTAATAACCAAAATTTAATGACACAAATTGTTTATAATTAATGTGGCCACTGCTGCTGAATCTTCAATCCCACATTGTTATGTAAAATTCAGATCTAACATCTGTTTCTTGTTGAGATGTAGAAAGTTTTGGCTGCAAACAGTAACTGTAGAATCTAAAGAGTTTACATCTATGTTGATCAGAAAAGAAGGATGTAGAATGAACCCAAGCACTAGAAGCTCAATCACATAACTTCAATGCTTTTATTTCTCAGCTTTGTTGTGGACAAGCCAAACTAATTCTCTCTGGGACAATGTCCAGTCCTGGCTCTAAGGATGGTTCATGGCAGACATGACCCCCAGAAAAATCAATATGAATATGACTACATCAGATTTATCTTCCTCCCCCCAAAAATACCTCTCCAACAATGTCCCAGCAACCTCTGCATCTCAAATTCATCTAATGTACCTCTGTGTGGTGTTCCACCATGTCATTCAGCAGCCCAGTTTCACACTAAACCACAATGTTCAATGAGCTGCAACCTGTCCCTCATATTGCTTCAGACACATTGAGCTGAAATATGCCCCAAAATAATAATGAAGTTTTAGGGTCACAGCAGTACCACCTAGGCCTCTCAAGACACTTGAAGCTTACTTAAGTGCTGTGCAGTTAGGACATGCACATTGCCTCCACTAGGCTCCTCCTAGCCTCTTAGGCTCCTCCTAGCCTAGTGGAGTATAGCCTTAGGCAGCATGTATATGAACAAGCCTGTGCTAGCTGGTTTTAGGACAAAGGATTACTCTCCGTCCCTAATTTATTTAGGTGCTAAATAGATGCTAAAGCGTCTGTGCTTCCTAAGTATCAGAATGCCAATGTATTCAGACTCCTGAAACATGCAAGCCCCCCAAATCTCAACCCTTCTCAAATCCTCTGTAAGAATTATACTGGTACTTACTTTTTTCTAGATCCACCAAATATTTGCTGCGTATTCTATCTGATGGTTTACGTTTATAGTATTCTTACATCCCTAACTGGGTCTGGTGCTGTGGTACATTGGCCCTTGCTAACAGGCAAGCACCCACACAGCTGGCGGCTTGCTCCTTCCATCCCTTCCTGCCAGTGGGACAGGAGAGAAAACAGGCAGAGGAGTGAGAAAATAATCTGCCAAAATAAAGCTTCTTTGTCTGTAAAGCTCTGTTGCCTCCAGCTATTACAATTTTTTTCACACATATATACATATATTATGTGAGATCAAAAGATAGAAAATGGTCTTTCTTTTGCTTTGAGAAAATCCCTCAGTGGACATATGAAATATTAAGAATCACCACATTCCCTCCCTCACATGTGTTTTTCATGAGATTACAATATGAAAACAAAATAACTTCTGTAGAGGAATATTCTGTATTGGATCTTTATTTCCAACTCAGCAGCACCATGAACTATACAGAAAATGAGAGATGTCAGAAATCCTTTCTCACTAGAAAGGATACTGAGAATCCCAGCCAGACACCTTAACCTTTCTTTGGAAATGTCAGATAGCATAAAACTCTCTTCTAGGAAAGAAATAGTACTAAAAAAAAGAAAGAAAGAAAAAAATAAGTATTTAAAACAGTGCAATGCCCCCTACCTTTCCTTCCCTGAAAATACCTATTAATTCTTCATTATTTCCCTGTTGGTTTACAGATTTTAAGGTTTTGCATTTTTAAGGTTTTTTTCCACAACCACTGACATGATTCATTAAAAGCTAAGATGTTCATTTAATCCAAGGAGACCAGAAGACCACAGCCTGAAGAAAAGTGTAGAACTGCAGGAGACTTTTGAGAAAGAGAGCCAAGACAGGCTAGCTTTCCTACAGCCACTCCCTTTTTCCCAGGAGCCAGTAAATGGTATCAGAAGGCTTTGACTGCTAGAAAATTGCTTTTTCCTTTGCTGTCAGCTAAAATACGTAGTCTTGCAGCTGAGTATGATGCTCAAGGTAGTTTTTTCCCTGGATATTTTGGCTAAGTATGCAAGATACCCAGCTAAATACACTACAGAGCACACATGTGCAATTTATCATTGGGAACATCTCCCTGTATTTTAGGGCAATGACAAGGGATAGCACATATACCTAGAAGCATATCTGTAACTAGCACTGCATATAGTGTTTTTATATCATGATGGCAAAATAAAAATTCAGTTTTTAAAGATGCCTTTAATTTTACCAAAGTTTTACTGGCTTAAAACCATAGCTTGCTGCACAATTAGTTGTGAACAGAAAACCTTAACTGGACAACAAGTATTGCTCAGCTCGACTTTGAAAAGACATACTTATGGTAAGCAAAATATCCGAGCTCACTGTAGACAAAAACCACAAAACATGAGTATGAATGAAAGCTATAGTATCACTTTTGGTTTTGTGCACTTCACAGAAAATGTTGTGTTAGGAGCAAGTCCTCTTTTTGTGAGGACAGTGTACTCTGGAGGGCCTACAGCACTAATTGTTCCAACTCAGGATGCTGGAGAAATTTCTCTGCTCCCTGGAGTGGTAGTCCCAGAAGGAGGGTGAAGTGTCAGCGTTCAGCCAAGATTTATTCTTGTTTAGATTTAGGACTGGAATTTGTCAGGCTCAGCAGAAAGAATTCCATTAGCTCTGACAAGTGCATGTGTGTGTCTGTGTTGGGTAATCTATTTAGGAGATGTAAAATGCTGCACACACTTCCCATTTTGTTGCAAAAAGCTGAAATTGATGGTCCCTGTCAAAAACTATCATCTCCCAGTCTCTAAAAGAAAATTGACCCTTGGTTTCTCTGCAGTACCCTTCAGCATTAGAGGAGGTCCACCCCTCCTTTACCTAATACTACTTCAGTAAAAGGAAGTGTAATTGAAAATATAATTGACCTGATGTCCAGAACTTGCTATATTGAGGTCCTGAAGTAGTGTCTGAAAATTATTGCTATATTTTAGGAGTATTCTTATGCCTTGAGAGCGCTATGCATATCTACATTCCTACATAAATAATAATAAGTAATAGAGCAGGGCTATTTTAAAGGTCTGATGTTATAAAACCAATCAGGGCTACAAATGAATATTTCATGCCATTAAAAATGCCTGCCACAAACCTATTGGAAAAGGCAAAATTAACTGGTAAACTACACAAATACTGTCAGAACCAAAAAACTCTTACAGCTATAGCTGCAGCATTCTGATCAGAAGGAAAAAGTCCTTGAGAAGTCTGACAATATTAAAATAGGATTTGTAAAATTCCTGAATACATCTTTCTTAACAGTTTTTAAAGCAGAGATCACTGGTGCATAAATTATTTTAACACTCTTATTCACAAATGATACCTGAGCCTTTTGCTGTATATACCAGCTTCTTCAAGAAATAATTGTACTCTTGTAATTCCTGAAGGCCATGATTAGTTCCATTTTAAGATTTTGCATAATATACTACCCTGTGGTACCTAGTCAGCCAAAGGTGTCATACAGACAATTATTACAGTATCTATAAAGAACATTATATTTTTTATTGTTAAATGTTTCAGGATATGTTACTTAAAGAAATTAGTAGACGTCCACAGCTCATGCTTCTTTTTGCTTTTATAGTATCATGCAGTAATGAAAGAACTGTACAAATGCTTTTAGGTGCAATGAACTCTTCCAACCTCTAATCATGGTGCAGTGTCTGGGAAGATTTATTCTTTATTCATTTGTATGCACACGACAATTCAGCAAGGCTCAAGTACTGACTTTACCAGTTTTATATGATACGCCTTATGATTTCTTGATAACTCTCAATTATGCTCTCTTCTCTGCCTGACCTCAGAAACTTTAATCTTCAGCATGAAACTTTAGTCCCTACCATTTTAATGTCACGGCATGTGCCACACTTACAGGTACTTTGGAAATTCTCAGTGGTAAAGAGTAAACCCCAAAGGCCTCCCCTCTTTCTTATCAATTTAACAAGCTTTAATCTGGTTTCTGTTTCTAGATTCTCCTTCATTCCTGAGAGATTCTTGCCGGCATTGATTCCAACTGCATCATGGAATACTGTAGCACCAGACTGTTTAGGAAAGTAATTTACAGGAAAAGTATGCAGACAATTAACTTAAATGGCATAACAAATCTGGACAACATTGCTACACATTAATAGTGACAATATGCTGGAACATACCAGTGTTTAGGATTAAATTGAAATGGTATGGACAGATTGTCTCTACCAGCACCATCCTGTGCATAGTGTAGCACACAGCTGTGCCATGCTGAGAATTTTGGGAGGGAACCATAACCAAAGACCCAGCTGCTTTCATCCCCCGTCTCCTTGTTTCCAGGGGAAACAACCTACAATCTCCTAGCAAAAGATGTATTTTCCTTGTGTTGATTATCTGGTTTGCTCTGCTTAATCTGTATGCTTCCTGAGTCTTACTTTCCAGAAATACAGTTGTAGTAGCATAGCTGGTGATAAAAGGAAGGCACTCTTTTCTATTTTACAGCTTGCCTAGGTGTATTTGGATCAACTATAGTTTGACCCAGTGTTTTTAAAGCCCAAATTTTGCTATCCTTACGATGACATAAGGTGTTTGTCAAGCGCATTGATGATAACTTCCTTGCAAAGGTTCTCAAGGAGCTGACAAGGGGAAGTGCTCTTCTGGATACGATATTTACAGATGGGGAAGAACTTGGCTACAGTGACCATGAAACAGTAGAATAAGGGCAAAATAACAAAATCACAGCCCCAGACTTAATGAGAGCAGACTTTGACCTTTCCAAGGGTCTTGGGAATCAGCTTGGAAGGATCCCACAAGATACGGTACTGAAGAGAAGTCCAGGAGGGTTGTTTTTATTTTCAAGGTTCCCTACCTTTAAGCTTAAGAACAGTCCATCCTGACAATAGGAAATCAAACAAGAGTGGTGGGAAGCTTGTGTGGATGAACAAGCTGCTCTTCACTAAGCTCTCCAGAATAGTACAAGAGGTGTGAGCTGGGGCAAGTACCCAGTGCCTGAGTGTACAAGGAGAATGAAGGCGGTGAAGCGAATAATTCCTGGTGGGCAAGCTGACAGTAAGACAGCAAAATATTTGGGATTCCTCACGCTCCTGTATTTCACATAGATTTTATTTGGTACCACTTAGGCAGATTTTGTAAATTATGGTTGTACACGTGGATATTAGAGAAACTCTTCTGGACTACTTTGGGTTTTGGTTGCCCAGAATTGCAAAGCATTGTTAAAATTCATTGCTGTTGATGTTCTGCTGAGTTTTGTCCACTGTCTTTTAAGTTTTTCAAAGCAATGCAGCTCTTCTTGTTTAGAACCACCCACGTGTATTTCCTAATTGCCTGGCCAAACACTGGTGGCTAAAAAGAATAACTCTCATTCACTTTGCTGTCCCATCGGTCTCAAAGGTGCTACTTCTATGTATAGGTACTTTTCTTATAGCTGATTATCTTTTAACATGGAGCACTATATCATCAGGAGAGGCCTGGATTTTTTCAAACAACTTGCAATAAAATGCAGAATAGGAAAATTAAGGGAAAAAATAAATTCTAATACTTGCAATTTATTATTTTTCAAACTGAGTTTGCTAATCTAAAAAGTGGTAAGTTGACATACATTACTTCTATGCAAATCAATGAACAAAAATGATTACTCAGGGACATTTTTATTGATTTTAAAATAGGTTTCAAGATTACAAGAAATTCAATTTTTCTGAAGGTTTAAAAAATTAATCATATGTGATGTATATGTTGAATGAGAGAGTAAAAAGGAATGCATTTCTTCCCAAGTGAATAATTATACAACTTCCAATGACTTCTGTGCTATAGAAAGTTAAATTTATGCATATGTTTAAGATGGATGAAACGCTCTATATGGTCAACTCACCTTTATGGTTAATAGCAGCTGTACTTTAAAAAGATACTTATAAGCTAAAGCAGTTGCCTTTTGGTGTTGTAGGACTGATGAGTATCAATCAGATATATGATACGATGATATGTGCTCGGAAAGATGCCTCAGCAGAGCAATTAATGTTTGAAATAGGAGATGAGGAGAGTAATTCTCTTTGTTGAGTCCCACCACTTAGCAATCTGCAGATAATTCAGTTCATTGCCAGCACTACCAGATAGGACAGAAGGAAAATCAGCATAAGGGCAAGAGATGAGCTGCTACACTGCTATACAGAAATGAGGTTCAGCATTTTACATTTTGTGATACAGGACTAATGGTGATTGACAGCATCTGCTTATGAGTTATTGCTTGAAGATCTTCCAAAGGGTGAATTATGATCCTAAGCGTCAGCATTTGCAGGAAATCATATAGAATTGTTTGGGTTGGAAGGGACCTTCAAAGGTCATCTAGTTCCAACCCCTCTTAAGGAGCAGGGAAATCTTCAGGTTGCCCAGAACCACGTCCAGCCTGGCCTTGAATGTCTCCAGGGATGGTGCATACCACCTCTCTGGTAAACCTGAGCCAGTGTTTTACCATCCTCGTTGTAAAGAATATTCTTACTTACATCCAGCCTGAATCTCTTTCAGTTTAAAACCATTTCCTCTCGTCCTATTACAACAGGCCCCGCTAAAAACTCGGTCCCCATCTTTCAAACCGCTCAGGAGGGCAAATGAAGGAGACACCGGTCCCTCACGCTGCGTTAAGCCGCTGGTGAGAAAAACCTCCCTGAAGAGCCAAGCTCTATCCCACCGCTCCAACCCGGACACCCGCGCACACCACCCCCGTACCCGGGCGGCGGGGCGGGGCCTGTCTGACGGGACAGCGCTGGCCCCGCCCCTCGCACGGAAGATTGGCGAAGAGGAGCGGGAGCTTCGCAGCCCGTCCTTCTAACTGGTTTGTCCCTCCAGCCGACCTGTAGTGCGTTCTCGTGTTTCCTCTCCATCATGGAGGGAACTGCGGCCTCCTCTGAGGGTCTGCGTTATGCTGAATACACCAGAGTCCCTACGGGCTCCGGTAAGGGACAAGCCGAGCTGGACCGAGGGCTGGTGAGTGCGGTGGGGGGTTGAGAGAGGGGCAAACCATCCCGCGAGTAGCGGCTGAGGAGAGGGGAATGCAAGAGTTCTGCCATGCCTCTTCCTTCTCGTCATGCCCCACCCCCGCTGCCGGCAGAGCCGGGGCGGAGGTCGCTCCTCCCTTCGACTCCCCTCAGACCCAGGAGGCGGTTGGACACTTTCACTTTCCCCAGCAGTGCTTCTTAGCCCAGGGCTTTCACACCCAAAGTGTGTGAGCACCGGGGCTGTGGCGGGCAACCGTTCCGAGCCCCCCGGGGTGGGCAGCAAGGTCGGGGGGAGGTGACCCCTTGCCTCGGGCGTGAGCACACAAGGCCTAAAGTTGTGTTCCCTTGCCGCAAAGGAATGATACCTGTGGTGTTTTCACATACTGTGCAAGTTTTATTATGGCTGGTTCAAGTGTTAATGGGTTTGTAGAGCTCTGCTTCAGAAAAATAATCCCTATCTGATGTTTTGTAGCATGGGAGAGGGTGGCTGGGTCTGGAGTGAAAGGGAAAAATGCTTTCAAGGTTTCCCATGCGGTAGTGTGCTGTAGAGGGAAGGGCGCTGGAGCTTTATCCCACTGCTTCAGTCTGGTCTTCTTTCAAGTAGTCCATGCAACAGTGAATTCTCTTTGGAAGAGAATTGGGTATTTGTAAAATACGCTTAACATACTGGATGGTGAAGTCTTCACATTTTTAAAATGGCTTTAAAAAATAATTTGCCTTCATTGTGTGCCTGTTGTTGTCTCTGGAATAATTTTTAACACAATTTTTAAAATCATAGTTGTCTCTAAGTTGTTAATCCATTGTTACTACAGTCTAGGACTTCTTTTCCTCCAGGTCAGTCTTTCCATGTATTTAACAGCAACCTATGTAATCTGAAGAAGCTGACTCCCAAACTCATTATTGTCACATCCATGTACTCCCTCTCTGTGGAATGCTAGAGGGGAAGTTCCTGGTGAATTTTGTGGAGTCTTTGGGCCTTCTTACCTGTCTGGGATAAAAATTGCATCTGGGATTTAATGTGGCTTTGTTGGTGTGAATTTTTTGTCAGGTTCTTACTAAGGTCCAGGGTCTCAGGTTGGTCTTTAGAGACTACTAGAATCTGGATTGCTGCAGTTTTCTATTGAAATATATTGTTTGGCCAGACGTTTCAGTGGAGAATGCAGCATATTTCAGGCGTATATACATTGTAAACTGTTAGCATACAGCTGGTAGTAGAAGCTCTTTGCATAGCATTAGATAAATAGTGGAAGAAAGGACAGTATTTGTACTTAGTGCTTTCTCATCTAAGAAATCCAGAAGAAGATCAAGTTGTGTATAATAAAATTCTAAAATTTAGCCAGAGAGAAATAGTAAGATCAACTGTAGTGCTATGCATCTGTTCCTCTGGTGTTCTGCAGGGTTAAGAAGGCTGCCTTGCCACAGTAGAAGGGAAGAGTAGTAGGAGATAACAGCAGCATTCATCTCTTGGAAGTAAAAGAGCTCTGTTCAATACCATGCCCTGAATCATGGTTGTGGGTTGTCCAGGATGTTAGCTGAAGACACTTAATCACTTCTACCTTTGTAGTTGTTTTACAAAAGCATTTCGAGTGATGGAAAAGAACAGTAGGAACACAAAGACAGGTAATTGTTAATACATACTCAAAAAGTCTGGTTTGAATGCTGTATGGTAATGGTTTCATTAGTGAACCTGTTGCTTTGGTACCATTTCCTATGAAAACCTGTCAGAAACTGTAGGCATAGCTTTATATACAAACCAAAAAAGTTGCTGTTAAAATAAATGGCACAAATTGACATGAGAATCGGATGAATATGGAGAACATCATCTAACTGAAATTACTTTTAGTTCACTGTTGCAAAACAAATTAAGTTTCAGAGGAAGGTAAGACTAGAAGGAAAACATGAAATTATGCAATCAAATCTGTTGCAGATAGTTTATAATATAGACCCACTTCAGAACATATCTGACTCCACATAGAGTTAACTAGGTGATTTGCTCTGAAGTAGTCTTCCAATAAGCTGTAGCTACTCTTACGAGGAATAGGAACCTTATTCTAGCTTCTGTACCGAACAATCATGGATTTCAAATCAAGAATTTTTACATAGGGAAAATGTAGTTTCAGAAATATGTTTTACACTTGGTTGCTAAAATTGTGTATCCTGGTGCTTAGTGGAATATAGCACTTGGGGGGGGGGGGGGGGGGTAGGGAATCAATAAGCCCAGGCAAACCTTCTTAAAATGAAGGTTTTGGTTAAGCAATTTACACTTGTGTACTTATTTGAATGTAAGTACATACTTCCTAGTTTGTTGATCCATGACTAAGCATGGACTAATTACAAAATGCCATCCAGTCCATCAGAAGAAGTTGTTATTTTCACTGTGCTTTTTATTCTATTGCACTGTAGGTTCAGAGGCAAAAGACTGTAGAGCTCTTGCTGTGTGTCTAAAAGCTAGGTGTGAGAAGAGCAAATTATTTATCATTTGGCCAAGAAGGGTGTTTTCACTGGTTGTGGTAGAAGAGCTGGTGTGTAAAATCCAAATCCTGTGCAAGCAGGTATGTTTTAAAATTTCTAAAGGTTGTTCTTTTCCTTAGTCAGATGTAAAAGTGTTGTGCTGAAATTTTAAAATTATGCATTTGCAATTCTCCTTTTGTTTATAAGTTTAACTTCCTTTCTGCTTTGTAGAAGGAGAAGCTGCAGTGCTAAGAATTACAGAAGTCTTATTTTTGAGTATGGTTAAGTTAACAGAGTGGTGTGGTTTAAGAATGCGCAAAAAGAATATCTTACTTTTGCCTTTTTCTTCTAAAAAAATTAAGGCTACTGGAAAATCAGATATTAAAGGATTAGACCACAGATGTCTGTATGCTAACAGGATATGAAATATGTGTTAATCGATATGCTTTATCCTCTTTTGTTTACCAAATGCTTTGGTAAGTCAGCTCTTGCAACTGCCTTTCTAATGTTTGTGTTTTCTTACACGTTTCTGAAAAGGATTTTTTTAAAAATCAGGTTTTGCAGATTTGGCAAAAGCTGATTTGTTTTCTGTAACTAAGAGGGTTTGTTACTGAAAAATGAGCTGTGTTGTAAAATTAAAATACTGAGATCAGCAGAATAACATAGGGTTGATGACTAACCTTTGGGAACTGATTCATTGAATAAAGAAAGGTACAGATGTTACTTTTTAATCTTTTCTTTCTTTATTTTTCCCTCTTGGGTCTTAACAGAATACTTGCATTTAAAACTTGTATCTGAGAAATTTTGTAATGGCATTTTTTACAGTGGGGGGAAGTCAACTCTGTCATAATTGAAAGCCAGTAAGTATATTTATTTATTATTTATGTATATATATATATATTTAGTTTTTATGAGTCTGAAATAAGAGGCATTTTTAAACAATGGGACCCAAAAATAGTTCTTGTAGTAGTTGTATTATGCCATAAATGAACTGATCCCTTCCACAGTGATAGTTACTTTTATTTAATATTGATGTGAACAGAGTGCATATAATTAAAGTTTTGCACTTTATAGTCTACGTTTCAAAGCACCGTTTTTCTTGACTTACTCTTCTAAATAACTGAGTTAAGTGAGCATGGGAAATGAGTCAAACTGGACTTAAAGGACTTCCTGGTTAGTAAAGTTGCCACTAATTTTAAGAGAGTGGCTGGGTCAATAAGAGACAAACTGCAATCTTTCTTACCTTGATTGAAATTCAGTTTTTATGTCATGTATATAGTTTGAATATGTTCACACTATAACATTGAGGGTGCTTTGGTATGACAAGTTATCACTTCTTTGCTACTTTGTGGCAGGTAACTCTTCTCTAACCTGCTCATAATGCAAGCGAGGTGAGTTACTGTCAACCAGTATTTCTTAACTTTCTTGGTGGTTGTGCCTCTTCAAAATATGGACAGTCATTCATGCCTCTCTGGTTTTAACTTTCCGTCACTTTTACCTAGTTTTCTGGCTTGTTGTCATATGCCTGTGATCCTACATCCTGGTCCTATTCTAGAGCTGTTGCTATGCTTTTTTTGCCTACTGTTTTTCAGGCAGCCCTAGCTTTCCACTAACTGCTAGTACTTTCCACTGAGATTGAAATAATGCGTTCCAGTAGATATGGCTGACTCTGTAGAGACCCCTGAGGGCTTTTGATATAGTGTTCCCAGACTACTGTGCAAAAATGCTTAAGCCGTTTCTGCACTGAACTGACAGAGTCCAGGGATTATTTATTAGCCTGGTCTCAGTGCTTGGCCTTACCTGTGATAAAGTGTCTGCTGCTAATGCCCAGTTGCAACCAGCATACCTTGTTGTATACTGCTAACTTAACCCACCTGTTTGGTGGCAAAGCGAGTATAACTTAAGTTAGACAAGTGCAAGCTAGTATGAATTAATTTTTTTTTTGCCAGTGTGATCTATTTAACACATTGAGCTCTTAATTGACTATAACAACATAGATTCTCACTGTCACTCTGAACAAGTCAAGGAGTCTCTTGAATATAAATCCACAGTCACAAGCCACAGAGCAGAATAATATAGAATTTCTGTAGGGTTATGGTATTTTCAGGAATGTTGTGGCTGATACTGATTGGTTTCTAAACAGGAATTAGAGACTTTTAGAAGGTTTGAATATTGAGAGCCTGGGAAAAACCGATTTGTGAGAAGAAATGACAAGAGTTTTAGTTTAGTGTTGAGATGAATGGCATGCTTCGATATTTTTTATCTTCTGCCATTAAAGGTAACATATTTTTTCATGGTCTAAGGACAAGGGGAAATTTTGTGGAACTCGAACAACAGACATAAAACTACTGTGTTATTTTTGCATTCAGAAAAGAGTGCTAGTATTGAGACTGATGACTACACTGAAATGGAGGAGATAGATTACTGAAATGAGTAGATTTTTAAGGCCAAAACTACCCCAGTCTTAACTTTGGAGCTTCACTTTCAGTATGTTTAGTAAGTCTCTTCTATGAGAAACCTCTAGGCAATTGCAGCATTGTTATGTGAATAGCTAGAATAGCCCCAACTGGGTAAGCAGGAGGTAAGTACTTAGTTAAAACACATAGGCTCCAGAAGCTAGATATAGAGGAATACATCCTCTTCAAGATGAGCTCAGAGCTGACTATCACTTTCTCTGTTCTGAGCTCAATACTACAAGCAGCAATAACAACCACTTGCCTTCACAGCCAAAGCTGTAGGAGCTACTCAGCATGATGGCAGTGCTTACATCTTGTATAGCTGCCCTTTTGCTGGGAAACTTGTTGACCTGTGTTCTAGACCATAGTTAAGACAGCTCTAGGAGGCTTTAAAAATGATATTTCCAAACTCTTTCCCCTACTCCCTCTCTACCCTAGGTATCCTGTAGAAGGATCTTAGGCTCTAAATACAATCATGTATTTGAGTGGTGCAGTGGTAAAAGCAGCTCAAGCCGGTTACCTCCAGAGAGAGCCCTCAAACAAAGAAATCCCCAAGCAGTTGTACCCTTACAATTTAAGTTTCCCACCCCTCATGCAACAGTTTGGTATGATAATAATATTCGGGTCTGGGATGGTCTTGTTTTCAGTTAGGTCCCTTCGTTGCCTCTAGGCAGGCTGTTTCTCCTAAGTTTGCAGGTTTTGCTGATGGGTAGTGTCTGTCCTTGCCTCCTTATCATACACTGGCTCTGGGGCTTCCTTTTACTTAAGTAGGTAAAAAGCTTAGCATATCTGTGAGAAAATTCACAGCTTGTGGCCTGAGGCATCAGCACATCTAGCTACTAATGCTGAGTAAGTTACACTAAGTGACTAATTTCCTTTATTTCTTTACAGTCTAGAATTGAGATTGGGTACTATCAAAGGCAGAATGTTAGCCCCAGGAGGCTTAGTAGCAAAGGCAACTTGGCTCCAAATCCAGTTATTAGGGGACTTGTGTTGAAATTTGGGCTTTTAAGTCCTGCTGTCAGGCTTTTTAGTAGAAAAAGTGTAAACCAGTTATTGGATAAATACAGAAGTAAGTCACATTTAGAAGAGACAGTCTGGTGATAAAAGCATTTTCATTGTTATATTTTGAATTCAAGCTAAACAGGCAGAATTTGATTCCTTATGTTTCCTGGGGGAAAGTTCAAGGCATTATTGAGCTATTATGTGATAGGACAGGTAGTGCTACAGATGACTATTTAATCTGTTTTGGAGATTACATCTTGCCTTTTTGGAAATGGAGAGATGCCCCCAACACTTGCAGTGCTCATCATCCTTCTTGATTTCTGCGGGTGTGTGAAAAGTTGCAGTACATTCTTCAAGGTTTACTACATAGCTTTCAGCAGCTTCTTGTTTGACATGGAGATGATAGTTATTGTCCTTGAGGTGCCTGACTTTCTTCAAGCACTGTGTAGGTGACTGTTGTTTGCATCAGATGTTCCAAGTCCTTATTTTATTTTATTTTCCCCTCTCCTTTCCTTTTTTTTTGTTCTCTCTATTTTTTTTATTTTTTTTTTTTTTTTTGTGGGTTTGGTTCCAAAACCCCAGTTAGACTAAAAGTGATTCTATAAGGTAGAGTCCAGTGATTGATGTGAAGTAATGAAAAGAGGTTCCTGGGCTTCATTTCATTACTGGGGCTTCCACAAGTCAAAGCATGAACAATGGAAGGTCCTAATATATGTTTGTGGACATAGAAGTTAATATTCCAGTATCATTTTCAAGCAATATCATGATGAGATTCCCAGTGAAGGACTTTGCAAAACAATATATATTTTTAAGCTCTTCATATTTGTGTAACAAACTGATACTTTCTTGTGTTGAATCATTTGCCATGACAAATTTCAGGTGATCCTGAATAGTTGTTTGCCTTTTGTTTTTATCAATACATACTGTGAGCTGATTTCTCAGTGTTTTACACATTTGCTAATGGGTAGTTCCTGGTTAAACGTGATGTGCTGGCAGGGTTTAATAAGGCTGAACTCTAAAAATCTAATGTAGTCTGTGGAATACAGAACTTACTTGTATCTTTCTTGTAAATGTCAGACATCAGAAATACTTGCTGATAAAATAAAAGGTGCATGTATTTCAAATTAGAATTTGCGTGTTTTCTGATTCCTGTTTCTCTGCTTTAGGCCAGAGCAATGATAGCTGTTGGACTTGGTGTTGCAACTGTTGCATTTGCAGGTAAGCTAAATTACCAGCTGAGCGTGGAACTGTCACTTGTGAGCTGCTATTTCCAAAAGGTTAATGAAGCTTTTATAAATATAAACATTGGAAAAATAGAAAGATTGTTTGAGAGTGCTATGGAGAGCTGTGTCAAGGTGTAGTTCCCATCCCTTCAAAATCCTGGACATGCTTTCCAAAATTCTTTTTGGAAAGTCACACTTTGAAACTAGTTTTATGGACAACAGCTAAAAGGTTCAATCTGCTTTTTGCCTGCAAGATGTAATGTGAAAAGTTTACTCTGTTTATTTAGTAACATATTGCAAGGTGGATGCTCTGTAGTAGTAGAGTGCAGCAGAATCTTGTGATGTAAAGGTAACACCTAACAAATTCAAAAGAGAAAAATAGAAGGTTTAGGTGGCTGCAGTGATTTATCACATTAAACTGTTCCCATAGTACATTGTTTGTTACCTGAACTCTTTGCATCTGGACTGTATGTTCTTCTGAAAAATAGGTTCTAGTCTGTACACAGGGGATGAGCTTAACATGAATAGTACTTTGGGTTACTTAGACTGGATGACTGTGCTGTATTTTGGTTTTCAAATACACAAATTGATTTCCATAATTTTCAGTATATAAAAGTAGCCAAGGTCAGCTGTATGCAAACGCATACACCAAGAACTTACTCAAAAGATGAACAAGTTGCACCAAAGTTCAGTGGCTATTTGCTGGGCACAATGATTAGGGGAATGAAAGCCAAGATCTTTGGTAATGTATGCTTTTAAGCAGTTGGTTTATATATGTGTTTGTGTAGAAGCAAAAGAGAAATGCTTTTTAGAATTTCTGCTACTTGAGCTGAAAAATTAATGGCAGCTAGCAGAAAAAGTGGTAGCAGAAAGCATGAAGAAGGTGAGATCACAAGTAGATCACAAATAGATCGCAACATTTCAGCAGTGATGCTCTAATAGTGGCTTTAGCTTCTGTGTTAACATAAGCATGGGTTTAGATAGCTAAAATAACCTATGGTTATTTTAAGAATTTATTCTTAAAAATTTATGGTATTTTAAGAAAGCAAGGTGCTATCTGAATGAAACAGCCACATTTTAGAAACAGTTTTTCCACTGTGTATAACAGTAAGTTACATTGTTAATGAACAGTTAATCAAAACAATAACTGGGAAGAGGGAGTGTAGAGAGAAAATTCTCAAGTAGCATGGCACAAATCTTGATTCTGAAATTGGTAGACCTGGTTTGTACTTCTGAGAAAACAGTCTAATACAGTTTACTCTAGCCTTTCCTAGCTGTAGATACTCACTACCAGTGGGGAGTTGAATGGCTCTGAATCCCAGAAGATCCTCTCTTTGTAGCAAAATAAAAAATGCAGTACTTACAAAATGTGTGATTAAGCATGCAACATCACAGCAAGAAACATGTAGTACATAGATTTCTTTTCTTGAAGACATAATCTTTGAACAGTATTTAATAAATAATGTACATCCAAAGAGAATGTTTCATACTACCCTTTTTCTTGAAGTTCACAAGGCATATCTCTTCATTTATTGTATTGAAATGCATTTAAATCTATCTGTTTTGTGAGCAAACACAATGGATCTTTGCAATCCCTGACTAGTTTTTTTTAGATGAAGTATACTGAGCTTCTTGCCTTCCCTCCCCAAAGAGTACAAAGATTGAAAAATGTAAACCATAGCAAGTTTTCTGTGGGATGACTTCTGGGCAGGATCCAGAAATGGCTGTTGAGGGAACATCTTGAAAAGCAGTAAAGTGCAGTGGTACTGTACAACAAATAAATGAGACAAAAAGATTAAAAAGGAAGGGGGTTGATTATTTTTTTAAATTTATTTATTTTTTTTTTTAGAAACCAAAATTCTTTCTGCTTTATGCTGATGAACATAAGTTGGAGACTTTTTTCTCCTTTTAGTGAATGTTGGTTATAATTTCATTTAACTTCAACCTTTTTCAGGTCGTTATGCTTTCCAGCTTTGGAAGCCGTTGGAGCAGGCAATTACAGAGACAGCAAAGAGGATTTCAACTTCTGTAAGTTTAGAGGTTACTTTATGCTGAATTAATGATTTTGTTTCAAGTATTTAGAGAGGAGACATTTTATGTTACATACAGCAAGTGCCACTTTGATTATCCTGTTTTCCAGGAAACGGGTGCTCCTTACTGTGCATGTTCTGGCATATTATCTGGTATATTTTTAAATTCATGTGGATGAAGCTACATGAAAAGATGTTTGTGAGCTTGATAAACAGAATTTCCTGGTGGTGCTTCATGTTTCAGAACTGTTTGCTAATAAGTGTGTGATAAATGGTTAAAGGCTGCTGTGAGAAAATAGCTAATTCCTAGAGATTACAAAGTGATGACATGCAGTTTCATTTCAAGAAGCTAAAAATGTAAGAAGTTAGTCTTTTTTTCCTTCCCCCCCCCCCCCCATACAGTGTTAAAATCAAAAAGGCAAATTGATAAACTTCTAAGAAAGGTTGCCATAGAGATGGGCATAGAGGTACTGTTTTCTTGTTCACATATAAGTTGTCTTTTTTAATTCCCCGTCTGATTTGAACTTTTAATCAATTTTTTGCTCTTTGTTTTGCCCTATATATTTAAAAATGTAATAATGAGGTAAAAAAAATTAGGAGATGGGGTGTTGTGAGAGGAGCATATGCAGGGAATATTCAAGAGCATTTACTTTTTGCTTCAGTGGCTATACTATACTGTCCTCTGGTAAATAAATAAATGCGTTCCAATTTCTGTTTGATTAAAGTAATTCCTAGTGAGGTAGATATTTGATTGTAGAAGTGTATTTCTTCAGAGTTCATACTCTGTGAGCACTTTTCCACAGTGGAAGGAATACAATTCCTCTCTCCGAGGGTGCTGAGGGAGTAGATTTGTATTACTAGTTATAGATTATTATTTCCTGAAAAATTAAAGGTAGATAGGTAGGTAGTTAGTTTGTTTGTTTTTAAAGTAATCATTTGCATTGTACCTATTAATGCGAGGCCAGTTGCAACATAGTCTGTCTACATTATATAGACAGATGCTAGAGTCCAAATACATTTGCCATCTGTGTTCATGTGCTGAAGGTCCAGGCTTGATCAATGCAAGCTTCCTGGGGAGGGAAAAGAATAAACATGGGCTGTCCTCTGGGGGCTGATCCCCTCTTGTTCTTAATTGCAGTGTGTATCAGCCAGAAATGGTGCTCCTCCGTCAGTTTTTGCTCTCTGTCCCTCTGTTGCATTGCTGTTGTGAGGCCAACTGTTGTTATTTTTTTTTCCTTTTCAAAGTAGTTTTTTGAGAGATTCCCAAGTTGCCTGCCAAAACAGCAGAGGGGATTTGAGATACTGTGAATTAAATTGCTTTCACATGATATGGATACAGTCTGACTTGCAGGCTTGCTAGAGGTAGCTCACAGTAAGGACATGTGGTTTCAAAGTAGGGAGTGCTTCAATCTTCACCCTCCCACCCCAACATTTTTACTCCAGCATTTCTTCTATACATTTGTAGATACAGGCTAAAGAATCTAAATTCAGACATCTTCCTATAAGAAAGCTGGCAGTGACTCTTTAACACATTGAAATATGACATGCTACTGAACAGAGAGTTGTCTGTTCCTAGGAAACTGTACCCCTCAGTACTGGTATACTGGCTGAGTGAAGCTCATTACAGGCCTATCTCATTTTTACCGCAGTGACTTTCAGAGTCTTGCAGAATTCATGAACAACCATAAAGAGCAAGCCAGGTGCTTTTGCATTCATAGTATTCCTAGTCCCTGGAGCTGCATCCTCTGTCTGCCTTCACATCCTGCCTTACAGCCCAGAATTGTGCGTCGATTTCCAGCAGAGTATCTCTTGTCTGCTATTCTTTTCTGAACTTGACAATACAAGTTTTCAGTGCAAGATGAGATCGGCTGAATAAAGTAAAAGCTCTCTCTTCCTGTTTGCCATTAACTGTATGTATTTGTCGGTTTTACATTTGTGAGGGTAATAGTATTTTCTTCTACAGTCATAGTGCAGAGTTAAGATCCTTGTATAATTCTTAGCCAAGGTTATTTGTTCTTTACTACTCTACAGCTACTACTTTTTTGGATTTTTTTCCTACCTTTTTTCCTCCCCTTAACAATCAGTTATTTCCTATTTATAACTTTTTCTCTAAAACAGTAAAAACATTAGGTAGAAAGATCCTGTGTAAGTGGTTACTGTGAAAACTTCTTATGTTAACTGCCTTACTTGTTTTTGTTTGGGGAATTTGAATCTGCTGAATATAATCTGTGGATTAGCACTTTCATCACGTTTCTTTACAGCATATTGCCCTCTAAGCTCTACTGACAAAGGAAATCAAGCATCTACCTATGCTTACTGGATAAAGCGTCTCATGTGACATTTAGTGTCTAGGCTTAGTGTTACTTTGCTGGTTTTCTATGGTGTTTGGAAGTGCCTAACTTAGTCATAATTTTCAGTTGCTACTCTAGCTTTCTAGAATCAAACACTGTCCTTCATTACCACTTTCTTTCGAGAGGCTGTGAAGCAGCTGCCTATTTAAAAGCTAGGTTGTTCTCTCAGTAAGCCACCACTCCTCCTCGCCCCATTCTCATCTTCCATTTGCAATAGAAATCACAGTTCATGTTGGTTGCAGTCACCATGCAAGGTAATCCAAATGCTGTTTGTCCTTTCTTCTTGCTCAGTAAGAAATTACTTGGGTAAGGTCAAGTTGAGCAATTATGAAGCCATCATTTAAAATGCCTGCTTATTGTATTTTGAGTATTTTACACTTTGTATTTACTTACCTAAATAAATAATGTGTACATTCAGCAACTACACTGATCTTTTATTCAGAAATAGTAAGTAAAAGCAACTAAAAGTGTTATGTTTTGTTCTGAATTTCTACCTCTAATTTATGGCAGTTAAGTATATATTCTAAATATGAAATCTAAATGCTACTGTCATTTAGTCTCTAATTTTTCTACTTCTTTTCAGTGGAGGAAGATATAAGAGGAAACATTTTGTCAGTTCCCCTCTATGACAAATCATAATGCTTGTTTCCAGAGAAATACTTTTTTTTTTTTCTTTCTAGTTTTAGCCTAGTTTTGTTACTGGTGTCACAAATACCAGTGACATTGTTCTGTTTCTGTGTGTAGTGACAAGAGTCTGTTGCTAATAGAAGGTGTGTAGCAATAAGCAGTCATTTAGCTTTTCTTCCTCAGACATTAACACTGTTAATTAGAATGTTAGTATTTCCTTAAAATATGAAATTAAAAAAGTATTTCAGAAGCATTCATTACATTTCTTTGTTGAATCAGTGATGTTGTAGTTGAGAGATAGAAGATACTGAAGGTAGAAACAGCAGTTCTAGGCAAAAATACACAAACCCCACAGTCCTGAATATTCTGTTCCAGAAGAAAAGGGTATCTTCTATAGTACGTTAGAGATTTTTTTGCACTGTTTCCCTTGTTGGATCCAATTCTGCTCAAACTCGTAGAATTCTGAATTGAGCGGTAAAGGTAACAGCCATCTCCCTTGTCCTTCACTGAAAATAAAGTTCTGACAGAATAATGCAATTGCAGTTTGTTTCATATATTTTATTTTCTAACTGAAGTTAAGGACGTTAAAGTTGATCTTGGGAAATTGTAGATTATATTTTAATGCAGCTTATAGTTTTTGTGTTATTGTAGTTTGATGGGTTTTGGTTGTTTTTTTTTTTTGTTGTTGTTGTTTTTTGTTGTTGTTGTTGTTTTTCCCCAATGTTTGTTACTTTTCCAGTAGAGGACTGTATTGGTAGTGTAACAAAACAGAGGGTTTAGAAAAATTTACCACTTCATGGACTGTGATGGATGATCTGAATTATGGAATTTTGCATCTCTTGCTTGGCATGGAAACAGTGATTATGCTTTCCCTGCGCTATGCCAGGAAAAGTGTCTTGAAGATGTCAAAGTCCAAATGGATTCTTAGCTGACTGCTTTTGTGAAAATTTACAAGAGTGAATAGTTATTTGCAGAACAAGTCCAGCTGTTTTGTGTCATGTTTTGCCATGTCCATGTCCCCCCTACCAACAGCATTTGCTTACAAAGCAGAACTTGCTTTATATAAGTATCTGAACAGTAACAACATGCAAAGAAGTGAAATAAATTAAATTATAGCTCCGACCTCAAATAGTATGAAGAAATAGAGCTTATTTCAATGATTTTTCCAGTACAGAATTTGTTTGCAATAGCTGGGGTTAATAAATAATAAAGTGTCTAGAGCTGCCTGCTCATTGAGGAGTTCTCGTAACAGAAAAATATCTTGAGTATTGTTTCATTTCATTGCAGCCATTACTCAGAATTTACAATCGGAAGATCAGGGGAGAAGAGCTTTAATTTCAGTTTCATGCAAAAGTTGTTTCATTGGGGAACTAGAAATTCGCTGAGATGTTTCCTAAAATGAAGACTAGATCTCTTCCCTTTATTCTAAGCAATGGAAAAAATGGCTTTTGTATCTAATTTCCTTTTGCTTCAAATTCTGTTTAGGAGCAAGATCTTAATTAAAGAATTGATTATTCTTGTTACATGCTTTACTTCTGAAAAGAAAATGCTTTTTCATGATGACCAATTCAATGAACTGGTTTTGCTGATGTGCCAAAGGACACAGACAGCAGAATTTCCTTTTTCCCTTTTTTTTTTTTTTTCTTTTCATTCCTCTTGGATGTGAGCCACATCAAGGCTCCCCATGGTTAGAACAGTGTCAAGGAGGTAGGGTTTAAAAGCATGAAGTATTTCTGAAGGTAAGCCTATAGCCACCTCTCCCTATTTTCTTATTTTGAATAGTGTTTTAGATGAAATCTACCAAGAGCAGAGATGAGCTTTGTTAGAGATAATTCAAGTACTGGCTTTACATGGATACTGAACCAGTATCATCGTGTATAAGAGTTGTATGCCAGAGGTGACGGGCAAAGAAGAATTAACCTTTCCAGAAATCCATCTGCACCTAAGCTGCTCTGGGAGAAGTCCTGGAAAATCTTTAAGAGGCCATTAAAGTGTGTTTTTCTCTCCTGGCTGTAGTAACTGTTCAGCATCACTGCAAATTTCTGTGCAGTTCAGCCCCCTCAAGGGTGTTATCTGGTGACCATTAAATTATTAGCATCATTTCCTCTTGGAGGACTGGAGAAGCCCTGTGTATTCCTTTAGTGTTACATACTCTAACCTGTAAAGTCAATGTGCACTAACTATTGCAGACCTCCTTTGTGTTACACTGTAGCTATAGAAGTGGTTTCTCAACAGATTTTTGTTGTAGGCGTGACACATCCACTGTTGATTCAGCTTTGATACCTGTAGTGTTATGGTAGTGCTTATTTCATGTAAGGTTTGGGGTGGGAAGAAGATAAAATTTTTTTCAAATCATACCAGCACAACAGAAAATCTGTTTTTGTGACTGCTCTGGATGACTTCATGGTGGCAACAGGTGAAGTATTTCTGGACCATGCTTCTGGTGAATGTTGCTTCAAGCTTAATGAAAGGCTTTGCTTGCATATTGTAGACAAAGCCCTTTAAATGTTTTAATGCTTTTGAAATTATGTAAAAAAGTTTTAGTAAACGTAAGGCAAAATTCTCACTGAACATGAATGACTATATTGGGTGAGAAAGGTGTTTATTAAGGACCAGACATATTTTGTGGGTAAAAGGAACACTTAAAAATAATCTCAGCTCTTGGGCCAGACTTCCATTTAATAGCAACAAAAGAAGCTTATTTTTCCCCAGCTGATAGGTTTTGCACTGAGGAAAAACCTCCAGTCTGTTGAGTGATTTCTGTGTGCCAGTTCCGAAAGGCAGGCTGGCTTGGAGCTACATCTGCTGCCTCTGGGATTTGTGCAGTGTAGACTATTGTTTGTGTAGCAATGGGCTAGTTCTTAATTCTACTTACAGAAACCTTTACATTGAAGACATCACATCTAACTATCAGTGTGGTTCAGTAACTTACATTTTAAATAAAAAAAATAAAAATATTCCCTCTAACATTTACATACTGTAATTTACTCTTATCTCCGTCTCCTCCTTCTTAATATTCCTTTCCCACTTCTGTCTTTTCTGTCCCCTTCTTAAAACAGTGGCTAAAGTATCACATGCCAATGAGTTTAGAAAAAAAACCCTCTCTCCAGATCCTATATCTAACTGTCATCAGTCAGCGGTGTCCAGGAAAGGATGTAAAGGCAAAACTTGGTTAGGATTTCTCCATGTATTCTGATACTTCCCAATGTTCTCCAGCTTTCCTAAAATAGATGTTGTAACTTTATGGTAAGCTTTTTTTCTTTTTCATTTTTTTTTTCTTTTTCTTTTTGTTTTTTATATATTTTTCAGGGTTCCTTCAAAGAACTCAACGGTAGATATTTTTTTGAGGTAACATTCTTTCCCATGAAAAGTTATCTGTTCTTATCCTTTTATTGATTTTTACCTACTTTGTAGAAATATCTGGACTTCAGAGTGATTTTTTCCATAATTCCTTGGATGCCAGAGTATTTTGACTTTTTTAATTTTCCACTGCAGTGGTATCAAAGCTGTTCCAAATAAGTTTCCCCCTTTCCCTTTCTTGCCCTCACCAAGACATACACTGTACCACTCTGCGCCAGTTTGTACTTTGATTCTGGACTCTTGCTGAGAGGCAGGATTTTTAATGGTTGTATCTATTAATATCTCTTATTAGCAGTAGGAGATTGTAAAAATACAGATAGTTATTTTTAAGTCAGTTTTTCGTATGTGTTAACAGTCTGGAGAAGTCCTTTCATATTACCTGGTTTGTAGTAATTCCATGCCTTCAAAATAAATTATAGATTAATGCAGTTTTCTGAATGAGGTTATATAAATATGATTTAGGTCCTGGCACCTTGTATATGAAGCTAATTATTGCTTGTTTTCCCTTTCTTCTTTTTAGAGTCTTTCATCATACTATAAAGGGGGATTTGAACAGAAAATGAGTAGGCGAGAAGCTAGTCTTATTTTAGGTGTAAGGTAGGTGTGTTGCATTAAGATGTTTTTGTCTGGTATGTGCTGAATGAAAAAAATGCATGTTGTGAGAATGTGCAATGCTCTTGCCAAAATCTCAGCTTTTTAAAAAAGACATCTAGTGGCTTATAAAGCATTCTAATATTCTGCTTAAGCTAGAAAGCAAACAATAAAATGCTAATAAAACATGCAACTTTTGTTTGGCTTGAAGGCATGGTAACGTATTGCAGTGGAGAATTGGTGCTCTAGAAATAATCAGAATAGCACATACTGTGCTAATTAGTGTGATCATGTGGCCTGGTCTCCAAAAAAACCTGTGAGACAAGGAATATTGAAGATTATATTAATAAATGAGAATAAATCAATTTTGCTTGCTTTTTTCATAAGTCAGTACCATTATTTTTTTCTTTCTCCACTCTGATTTGTTTGGGTTTAAAAGGTTGAGGCATATTCCAAACAAAAAAAAACAACAACAAATAAACAACCCAACAAAAACCAAAAACCTGAAATTGGAGAGACTTGTCGTTTAAAGTAGGTACGGTAAATAATTTCCATTTTATGTGGAAATAATTTCTGAGTATTCAGTGAATTTTTCAGTGGATTTTTAAAAGCATTTGGGTGGCAAATGATAGCACATGTCTTGGTGTTTTCTGTAAAGCAGGCAGTGTGGTGGGTTTGAGGACTTTCCAGATGAGGGAGCAGATCTAACTTTAGGTAGTAGATTTCTCATTTGTGGTCTAGATCAGTGAGTTCTGAATTTAAAAAAAAAAAAAATAAAAAAAAATGGATGGTTTTAATTATCCCCAGAAGAAATTATTTCAGATGGAGAAAACTGGGACTTAAAATCCTGTTCAGTGTGTTATTTGTGTTTACTTCTAGCATAATGGAAATTATACACATTTAGCATTCACTTTAGAAAATAAATTGCATCTATTTGAAATATTTCATGCTTGTACACTGAAGATTTATGGGAATGCTCTTCAGAAATATTTCATTTGGCCTTTAAGTTCGATAACGTATTAACACTTCCACTTTGTAAGGGCACATTCAATGATACTCCACAGTAGCACATGGCAGCTTATTAAAGTGTGTTTACACTGGCAATGCATAGCCTGAACACTGCTCATGGATATGTCTGAAGTTTCATCACAACTGAAATCAGTCCCCTTTTAATTTTTAATTTTAATAGCTTGAGTCTTCACCAGGAGCACTGACACTGCTTGTTGTGTTTAGACTGAGTCTTGCGTGTGTTAAGACTTAATCAGATTTGAGGAAAGTTCTTATTTAAAGGTTTAAGCCGTGAAATGTGTAGAAGCACAGCTAACATTTTAATAGGAAATGTTGACATTGTTTAAACACAGAAAAAGGCAAGTGAGTTTTAAAAGTGTTATGGAAAATGCCAGGGTGTGCACAAACTGGATCTGTTCAGGCCCTGATCTTTAACACTTGTCCTCTGTGTCACCACTTCCAAATCATACTAAATTTTGAGGTAAAGACTTTCTTCAATATTTCAAGTGCTGAGTATGCATGGGTAGTATAAATACTAAATACAAGCCATGATAAAGGTAAGTATTTGATGGTAGCTTTCAGATTTTCAGCATACTGGCCCATTACGCATTCCTTCCTGTAGATGCTGAGGAGGCTGTTGTAAGGTCCCCCAGCAACCCTCTCTTGTCCAGGCTGAACAAAGCCTGCTCCCTCGACCTCTCCTTGAAGGGTGAGTGCTCCTCCCCCAGCCATTGTGGTGGCTTTTGCTTGGACCTGCTGTGGTTGGCCAATGGTTTCCCTGCACAGAGGTCCCCAGACCTGGAGGCAGCAGCTAGATGTGTCTGGCTGAATAGAGAACAGCTGCTGCTGCTGTTGACCCAGTGACCATGTGCCCGTTCACACAGCTGAGGAGGCCATTGTCCTTCTTTGCAGCCAGGGTAAGCTGCTGAGGCTTTTTGTTTTGCTGTGTTTGGGCCCTTTCCAGCAGAGCTACTCCCCAGCCTGTAGCACTGCAAAGGGCTCTTCCTTCCCAGACACTGGGCTCTGCATCTGTCCTTGTTGAAGGGTTCCTGTCACCCCATTCTGGCAGCCTGTCCAGGTCTTCCTGAATGTCAGCTATGCTCCCCAGTGTGTTGATTATTCCCACCAAGGTGATGGACTTCTCAGCCAGTTAGTGATGTTAGGAGGTGCCATGATTTGGCTGGTTGGTGAGACTCAGGTTGTCAGGCTGTACTAGTTCAACAAAAATGTGATTTTCACGTTAAAGGGGTTTTTGATAGTGATGAAGAATCTTTAGAAACCAGTCTGACTGGGATAAACAATATCCCAAAAACTAAACAAATTCGATGTAAACTACCTAATTTTGTAGTTGAAGCAGAGCTGTATGTTTTTCCATGGTATGCAACTGCAACATTTCCACAGTTACTCTTTGGCCATCTGAGTTTCTAAATGTGGTATATTGACTTTTTATTACTAAACAACAGCTTTACAAATCAAAATATAGATGATTGTTATTTTTAGCTGTCCAATAACAAAACGTTTCATTCTTGTATTTATATAGTTCAAGGTCTTCCACCCTCTGTTTAAATCTTACTTTTTGGGTTAGTTCCTGTTCCATTGAAGCACTCTTTTCTTATGCAGTTCTGTGAACTATTTTTGCAACATACCCTAATTTCCCTGTGATGGAATAATAATTAAAGGTTGCTTACCTCAGGAATTTAGTTAGACTGATACCTCACATTCAGACTGTACCTACAAAAAGATTAATTGATTCATCACTGATTAAGAAGTTACCTCAAGTGGAAAACACAGCTTTATTTCTTCATGCTAACAAATTATGAAAAACTAAACCATTCAAACTGTCTTTTTACATATGATAGCCATACTGTGTTGGTCTACTGCATCCATAAGTGATTATTTGTCTGGTAAGGTACATATTTCATTTAAGCCAAGTGCGTATTTTATGTATCTCTTACTGAAGAAAACAACATCCTGTAGCACTTGTAAATCAGCATGTCTCTGAACATAACACACTGAACAGCTTCGCAAAAATAACATACAGCTTTGGTTTTGGTTTGGTTTTGTTTGTTTGTTTGTTTGTTTTTTCCAGGCTCCTGCAGAAAGAAGAATTATTTCTAGTGGCTATAAAATATTTACAGTAGAACAAAATGTGCTAATACTAAATATTTGTTGGTTTGTCTCTGGTCGTAAAAATACTTCTTTTCTACAAGGAAAAGAAATGTGTTTTCTGTGTTTAATGATGAGAATAATAAGCTAGATACACCCTAGAGCTGCTGGATTTTTCCCTTTTTTAGAATCATTTATTTTAAATGACTTTCTTAAAAAACCTGAAAGATACTTCTGTGTCAAGTACACAGGCTTTTGAAAAATGTCCTTCTTGGTGTGTCTTACATGCCTTTGTTTACTTCTTTAGAGGTGCAGTTTTACGTTTTGTCCACAAGATGGTGAAAATCTCAAGTTTTAATTATTTTTCAGCTGGTATAAACTGTTAATTTATAGCCTGAGCTCAGTGACATTTATGGTAAGCGCTTCAATTTATTTTTGCAGTCCTTCTGCTGACAAGGCCAAAATCAGAACAGCCCATAGAAGAATCATGATTTTGAATCATCCTGATAAAGGTAAATAATGATTACTTTTCTTAACCAGGGTTTGAAATGAAGAAGCTTAAACGAGATCCTTTAAGTTTATTGAGTGTGTAAATAACCACAGAGTGCAAATGTATCTTGTTTATTTATAGACTTGAGCTTCTGTGTGTCTACTTGCAGATAAACTAGGCTTTATGAACCACAGTTTTGCCCATTTTTCTTTAATGTTGTTTTCTGTACTTCAGTTAAAACTATGAGCTCATGGACCAGTCTTCCACACTTAAAAAAAAATAATTAAAAATATGAAAAAAATAGTTATAACATTTTTGTATTAAACTGACATTCCTATTTTGAACTGAGAGGGACCAGTCACACATAAGAAAGTAACTTTCTGGGAGCAAATGTTCTGCAGTAACTAAGTACATCACTGATGAATTTCAGACTTCCTGGAATTCACTTGGAAGAAATGTAAGGCTGGGCAATGTTGCCTTAGTGGCCAGTTTTTTAATGTAAATTTATCTTACAGAAAGACTATTATTATAACTTTAACTACACTACAGCTGGTTGAGAAAGAAAGCCCATATGTTCATTGCTGTTCCTACTTTAAAATAACAGATGGTGAAGAATTGCACTGTATTTCAGAAGTCAAAAGGGGAAATTGGAGGGTTTTTATATCTTCTTGACAGAATTACAGGGCTCCTTGCCAGCACCCTGTTTTAAGAAAATGAAAAAAATAACTGGCCATGGAAAGGTTTTAGGTGTTGCTTTTCTTTTATGCCTTCACCCCTCACTTTAATTCTAAAGTAGTCTTGCTTATTCAATTCAGTGCTTTCATTTTTTTACACTTTTTATGATGCATAAACTGCACAGACATAAAAAGAAACCCCACAAAAAACAAACCCAACCACAACCAAACAAAATAATGAACTTCTAAGCTTATTGTAGCAGTGCTAAGAGATGTGAGCCAGCACTGAGAATCTCTGTGTGGAATGTTGAGCAGACCTAAAGAAGCAGTTCCTGTTACTGAGATCATACATTTTAATGACCTGGTCTTACAGCTGTAATGCACCTGCAGTTGGGCACTGTGTAGGTTTGGATGGATGCAGTGAGCCCTCCTGTGTGCTATTAAGTTGGAGCGTTTTCTCAGTAGGAACACCAGTTGAAGGGATTTGTGCCTCTTTACTGGCCCTGCAGCTCTTCTGGCATGGTCATAGAAAAAAAAGCTTGTGTAATGTCTTCAGCTGCAGAGAGAGGGCCTGAAGTCATCTTGAACATTTGGCATCACATCTTTGCTTATGTGTATCTTGATTTCTTCTGGCTGTGGGTAACACAGATGTGCTTTTAAAAGTAATATTTGACATTAGAAAGTTATTTTAAATTACTGTTTTGCCAGCTGGAGTTGACAGCAGAAAGGGCAATAATTACCGATTTTAGAAGTTACATATGTTATGAGATCAAAAATGTTGGAGAGTTACTAGAAATAAATAAGAAATGTATAGAAGTTTGCATTAAAACTTTCCCCAGTGAGCACTACTAAAATGGTTACTTATTAACCTTTACAGTTCAGTTTTAAAGAGTTTTAATTGATAAATTGTATGTTAATTTGTCAGTTAGTAATTTTGTGAAAGAGTATTTGCTCACAGAAAAAGAGTGAGAGAGAAGCCTTTTGGACTTGCCCTAATTATAAACAAACACTTAGGCAATCATGAGATTGAATTTTCTCTCATTGGAGGGCTACAAAATTAATATGGCACTTAAGGATGTAAATGTAGTGAAAACACTTCCAGCAGATTTGAATTTACTTTAAGATCCTGCACTCTAGACATGTAGAAAATCAGCGCACATTTAGAAATTACTTGGGATACATTGTTTATTGCAGTTTTTAGTCTTTACTGTTTGATCATCCTGGCTACTCTTTGGATAAAGCAATACCTGATGTAGTAAATCCTATTCCTGTATAAAAGTTCAGTTGTTTTTTTTTTTTTTTTTAAATAATAAGAAATAAATTTTCCAGTAACCAGTTTTCTATCCTTCCCCTGCCCTGCCTTGCTGTCTTCCATTAGCAGTACATTCAAACAAAACCAAAACATGAACAAGAGAACTCTATTACCTTTTCCAGTTGTTTTATTACACCATGAAATGACTCTAATGATTTGGATTCCTGCAGGAATGTCCTAAAGAAGTCTTTAAGCCCGCCTTACATTTTGGTTTGTTTTTTTTTTTTGTGTGTCTACAACTAGTTCTGTGTATTTCTTATATCATTATCTTTTCTGATTAATAGAATGAATGAAATGGTGAATGAAAAAATATGATTGAATAGATGCCTTGGAAAATGCTATTCAGTGCACAATTTTGTTAGAATCGCATTTTCATGTAAATATACATGTGTCTTATAATAAATGGTAAGTTATTGAGACAGACCTTGTCAGTTTGGCTTTGGTGACTGTAGGCAGATGGTTGGCACTCAATGGGAGAGTGAAAAAAATCCCAAACACAAAAAGACCACTGAACTGTAATCAGATTGTTAGATGGAGCATAAAGCAATGACAGTGTTCGGGACTTGAAGTTAGAAGGCATACCATGTTTAAATAGCTTTAATGTGATGGTTTCTGGCTGGTTATTTTGGGCATCTAGCAGACAAGAGGCTTGGGAGATGTACGCAAGTGCACACATGTAATGATTCTTTGTCAAAATTACTTATAAAATTTTACCTCTTAGCTTTTTGGGGTGAGTGGAAACAATAGCTGTTAGCTCTAGCTAAATGTTCAAGACAGCTGACCTTGCATACATTTGCAGCAGCATTGCACTGCGAGTCTAAATCACAGTGATGTAAAGTGACTTCAGATCTCAGTCTTCTCTCTGAAATAAGCTGTTCAGTGTTACTCTTTAGTGGCTTCAGTTTTGGTTAAATTTCTCATATTTATCGATTAGTTTGCTTCATATCAATGTCATTTTTTAAGCAGTTGTATGAAAAGGGTCAATTTAGGAAGGAAGAGCTAATAAAAGTGAGTAATAAAGAGGTGTTGCAAGTGAAGAGTTTGGTACTTAATACTGATGTGTAAATGGTATTCCTGTCCCCTTTTTCTTCTCAGGTGGATCACCTTACTTAGCAACAAAAATAAATGAAGCGAAAGACTTGTTGGAATCCAGTGCCAAAAACTGAAATCCAGAGCCTTGGGTCGTAGGAGATTCAGCAGATGCATTGTGCAACAGCTTCATTTCTGCTTGCTCGGCACAGTTTCTTAATGCTGCATTGATTTTTCCTATTTATTTTCATAATTAAAATTTAAGATTATTTAAAAGAAAACTGACATATTTTGCAGTTGTGTAAAGTTATATACAGTTACGCTCCTGCGAGGAGCAGGCAGTTGGATTTGATGATCCTTATGAGTCCCTTCCAACCCAAGATATTCTGTGATTCTATGTCTCAATTTTACTGCATTTTTACTGAATAATGATCCAGTACAAGCTCTGAAAATATTCTCTTGCTGTCAGTGTTTTTCTTCAGAAGTAGTAGCTTCTTTCATTAAACTTTTGGAATTCTTTAAAAATCTAAGAAATAGTCTTAAATACAGGGATTTTCTTCATTGAGGAACACTTGACTATTGCCAGAAATTCTGTGACTTTTGAGTCACAGTAAGGATGGCAGACTTGATGGCAAGTTTTCAGCGTCACCTTACACTTGAATCTCGTTCACTGATCAAATAGCAGGGTTTATTTATGAGTGCAGTTTGAGAGGTACAACTTTGAACAAAATTACTAGCAATACTACAGATGTCATTTTCCATTGGCTGTATGTATGGGGTTTGAAGATACGAAGGAAGAATCTTGGTTTTGGTTAGCGTTTTGCATACTGTAAGATCTCTGAAATTGACAAAGACTTATTTGGACATGCTTTTACTTTGGGTCACAGAACACATTTACTCTGTAGCAGCTGGGGTGGTGCAGGGGGTTTCATGATGGTGGAACTGAAGAAGGTAGGTCCATGTAGCATGGAGTTCAGATGGAGCCAACTGCTTGCAGGTGGTTCTCCCCCTGTACTCTCTCTCATGAGGTCCCATCTGCAGGTGGCCTCTGTGTTCATTTCTGGGGGCCCCAACAGAGGGGGAGCTGTACCTGCTCAAGTGAGTCCAGAGGAGGCCATGAAGATGCTCAGAGGACTGGAGCACCTCTCCTATGGAGACAGGCTGAGAGAGTTGAACTTATTCAGCCTAGAGAAGAGAAGGCTCTGGAGAAACCTTAGGACAATCTTTCAGTACCTAATGGGGACCTGCAGGAAATCTGGAGAGGGACTTTTCACAAATGCATGTAGTGACAGGACAAGGGGAAATGGCTTTAGACAGATAGACAGTAGAGTTAGATTAGACATTAGGAAGAAATTCTTCACTATGAAGGTGGTGAGAGACTGGAACAGGTTGCCCAAAGAAGCTGTGGCTGCCCCATCCTGGGCAGTGTTCGGGTCCAGGCTGGACAGGGTTTTGAGCAACCTGGTGTAGTGGAAGGTGGCCCTGCCTATGGCAGCGGGGCTGGAAGTAGGTGGTCTTTAAAGTCCCTTCCAACCCAAACTACTCTATGATTGTATGGTTTTATAGGCTGTGGTTGTCTCAGTCCACCCATATCAGCCTGATGTAGGACTGGTATAGCAGGGAACAAGCACGACAGCAGTGTTGCTTTGCCTGTGCCTCTAACTGGGTTAGTTCTCCATTAATTCTTACATCTCGGTATTATACTTCATTATCTGAAGTATCGTACATACCTCCTTATGTAGCATTCTAGCAACCTAGGGCAGGCTTCAGGGAATATTGCAGTAATGGGTCTCTGCCTTTAAAGAGAAAGTTTAATTGACAGCTGAGACTAGGTGCTATTTGGGGCACTTGGCTGCTGCAAATTCCTACCAGTAAGGTGGCTGCAAAGGAGTTAACTCACTTGAGAGTATGATGATGAGTTGAGACAGTATAGTTGGATCGGTCAAGACTGAAAAGTTTGCTAGTATCCATTCAAACTCTCATCATTTGAGGTACAACAAACTCGCTAAAGTGCTACAAATATAAAATTTAGATATCCCATTTCCTAGGTTATTTAGCCAGAGGAAAGTGGCTAAGAGCAGTTAAATAATTCAAGCATTCAACCTCACATTACACATCAGAACATGCCTTTATCTGTTCATCCATGGTGGACTCTTCATTAGGGACTGTAGTGGTAGGACAAGGGGTAATGGGTTAAAACTTAAACAGGGGAAGTTTAGATTGGATATAAGGAGGAAATTCTTTCCTGTTAGGGTGGTGAGGCACTGGAATAGGTTGTCCAGGGAGGTTGTGAATGCTCCATCCCTGGCAGTGTTCAAGGCCAGGTTGGACGAGGCCTTGGGTAATATGGTTTAGAGTGAGCTGTCCCTGCCCATGGCCAGGGGGGGTTGGAACTTGATGATCTTAAGGTCCTTTCCAGCCCTAACTATTCTATGATTCTGTGATTCTATGTCCATATCATACAGTTTTTTCCTTGAAGAAAAGATCGGATTTTTTTTTTCGTTTTTTATCAGGTTCCTCCCATGTTGTCAACAGCTTTCTTATTTTCATTAAAGAAGAATGAAAATAGTGTAAGTTGACCCTGGAAGAAAATACTAGCTTTAGGTAATTTATAGATTTCTCCACAACCAGAGTGACAAGACCTATGACACAATGTGACTGGATAAAGCAAAAAAGGCTACAAGCAAAAACCTGCCTCGAAATAGGCAAACACTGTATGAGTATCATACTTGCGCCATTAAACTAATGCTCTAATACAAAAAACCTTTCATTTAAAGATAGTGGGCTTTATTCCCATGCAGTAGCCTTAATTGTTTTTTGTTAAAGGAATAGCCAGTAATTAATGCACATTCAAGATGAGTTATTCCTTTCACTGGTGTATCAGTAAGTATTAGCATGAAGAAAAAAATCATGAAGGTTTTTATTTTGGGAGGAGAGAAGTAAAGTGGTGGGGTTGTTCCTAATTTTCAGTGGAGTCTGTAAGTGATCAGAGTCAGTGTTCAAAAGCAAAATTGATGTGTATGGTAGGTAGCAAAACCGTTCTCTAATGATTTTGAAATGACTAGTTGTTGTTTACATATGGTAAGCAACTTTTATTATTTTTTTCCCTGAGGAAAATGAAGTGTAAAAGAGCTACTCTAAAATACCAACTAAAACAACTGCATTAAAAATGGCTACACTTGTCCTGTTCCTGAAACTTAACTTCCCATGTCTTTGTTTTATGTTTGTGAGATCATGTTGCTGATTAGTTTCTTCCTGATCTAATTATTTTTATCTGATTGTTTTGGTGAAAACACACTTTTTTCTGGTCTTCAGTTATAAGAAAGCTTGTCCTCAATAAAATGCACTAAAGCCAAGTTCTAGTTCTGCTTTCTCCCTTTTCAGAGCAGACAACTGATGAATTAGCAAATTTGTCAAATTAGCAAATAGCAAAATTCAGCAAATTAACTGGCCAGTTGTGTCTTTGGAAAATGCTGTAGGATGAGTGAAGCTAATGAACAGCAGTTGCGAAAGCATCATTATTGTGTGTCCAGTGCCACAACATCACATATACAATAGCGTAAGTATGTATCCGTGGAAACAACTAATTGTCCCTGTTTGTTTGCTGGCAAAGCTTGCTTTTACCTACTAAATGATGTTTGGAAGGATGAAGATAGGACAGTGCAAGGAACAGAGGTAGTCAAGCAAATCATGTAAATGCTGTTCAATTTGTTGTCGCTGATAGCACTGCAGGCTAAGGAATGTCTTTGGAGGCTGCCTGGCAGAACAGCACCTTGTTTGGTTCTCAACTGGACTAGAAAGAATAGGATACTACTTTAAAAAAAAATAAAAAATCATAGCCTGCTAATTTAACCTTATAAATATTTACCCTTTTGAGTCTTTTCTTTGCTTGTCAGATACAGAAGTCTTCTGTGTATGAAAACCGCATAGAAATTGATCTATTCTGGTGTGATTTCTGGCAATCCATAACACCAGGAGCAAGCAAACTCATTTTTTTGTGTGTGCTTTAATGTTCAGAAAGTGTTCATCTGTAACTTGTTAGCTTTGGACTTCCCAGGTAGTTTTCTGCTTGCATGATAGCCAGGCCCAGGTACCCACTGTTACTTCAGAAGCTGGGCATGACTGCATGCATTCATTTGGCATTGCTGTGGGTGATTCCCATTTTATTTAATGAAGCACAGCTTGCTCATCTGCCTGGTTTTGGCATTTAGTCTGTGGAAGTTTTTGCTCAAATTTAATTCTTTACCATGCCACAGCAGACTTAAGCATAGGTCCACAAAGAGACTCAGTGTTAATCTGGTTATCTGTCTGCACCGAGAGTGATACAAGTGCCATTTGCAAAACCTTTGCTGGCCTAGAATGGGACTTGGGTAGAATTGAGACATAATTACAAGGCTACAATTCACAAAACCTTTGTCTGATCTTTTAGGTAATTTTAGAGGCAAAAACTCCCTTCTGTGTGCTTAGATTTCTGCTTCTGCATAGGTGTAAAACTACTTCCTTCTTGCCAGGAATTTGCTCAGTTTAACACTTTTTTTTTTTTCTTTTTTTTTTTTTTAGTTCCTAAAATCAGTAGATTAGGTGTCTAGCGTCTGCAAAGCCTGATCCTGTAGCTGTGGCTATAGGGTGCCTCATCCGCCTTGGTGTGAAAATCCCAGCACCTGACCCCGAACTTGGATGAGGCTGGTGGTTAAGCTGAGCTAAGGAGTTGATGGCTCTTGTCTGCTTCTTGGTGAAGTTGTGCCTTGCTGCAGAATGGAAAGTTCATAAAGCCTGCAAGATCCCATGACCAGAGTACTAAGCTCCAGTCAGCTTAAAACTTTTGAATGGTGTCAAAACAGCCTAAAGAAGTTCAGCAGCAGAGTTACTGCTAACCTCCTTAGCAGCCTCACTTTCCACATGTCAGGATCTTTAATTCATACTTTTCTATGAGCTTCTGTCAGTCTGTCCTTGAAAAGCAGTAGACAGGCACTGAATTGCCAGCTACAGCTTCCAGAACGTTTTCGTGGAATGCTGATAAAATGAATGTTTTCCTTGGGTCATAAACAATAGTTTTTGACATGTAAGTTGTGAAGACATATTTTTGAATTGGCATCATCGGTGATACCAGCACAATCTTGGGACTTTTGAGCTTTGTCGTTTCAGTGATTGCTCTCAAGCAACAGAGTATGTGTGTGTGCATAAGTATGTATAATCACGTGTGTGTTCGTATACACATGCATTCTGCTTTTCAGGATCCAATTTTGCGGCTGTACTGGGGCCCACAGTTAAAATAACATTTTTCTTGAATTTTTTTTTTTTACTTAAGTTTTCCAAATCAGATAATTACAGTTTGAGAGTGAGAAAAGCTTCCCTCTTCCTGTGTATATGCAATTTTTGACACACCTCTCATTCTCTAAAAGACAGAAATAATAATTCCAAAGTAAATTATAGGTCTTAATTTAATGATGGTTG